GTGGACCCATATGAATCGAAGTATGTGATCAACTATTCCCCGTTTCCTACGGATCACTAACAATATTCAGGTCTGTGATCACTTCTCTTCTTAGCCGGATACCCAAAATGTTCTCTTCTATCAAAAACCCTGAGTCGGCTTTGCTGCCGACATTGAATTCGGCGCTCTCCGCCCTGCAGGCTACAGGTGGCAAGATTGTCTGCGCGCTAGCTAGCTTACCTACTTGCGGTCCGGGGCATTTGGCAGTGAGAGAAGATCCTAAAGTTCATGGAACGGATGCGGAACGGAAACTTTTCACCACAGAAAACCCAGCTTGGAAGAAGACGGCAAGCAAGCTGGCTGAAGCTGGCGTGGGCTTGGATCTGTTCATGGCAGCCCCTGGCGGCACATATCTCGATGTGGCAACAATCGGTATGTTGAAAGCCTCATTGCACCCCATACAATCTATCAGCTAACTTCATTCATAGGACATGTCTCTAGTCTCACCGGAGGCGAGACCTTCTTTTACCCTAATTTCCATGCTCCACGCGATCTTCTCAAGCTGCGGCAGGAAATCACTCATGCCGTCACTCGTGAGACGGGATATCAGACCCTGATGAAAGTTCGATGCTCTAATGGACTCCAAGTGTCCGCCTACCACGGAAACTTTGTCCAGCACACTCTCGGTGCTGATTTGGAGATTGCTGGTGTCGATGCTGACAAGGCCTTCGGCGTACTCTTCAGCTACGACGGGAAACTCGATCCTAAACTGGATGCGCACTTCCAGGCCGCCTTGCTTTACACTTCCGCAGACGGTCAACGCCGTGTGCGATGTATCAACGTCGTGGCAGCTGTGAATGAAGGAGGCATGGAGACGATGAAGTTTGTCGACCAGGATGCCGTGGTCTCGGTTATTGCCAAGGAGGGTCAGTTGAAAAATCTATTAAAAGCCGTTGATTGTCTTTACTGACACCGTTATAGCCGCCTCGAAAACCCTGGATAAGACCCTCAAGGATATCCGAGCCAATATCTCAGAGAAGACAGTTGATATCTTCAGTGGATACCGCAAGATCTTCTCCGGCTCGCACCCGCCCGGTCAGCTCGTTCTACCTGAGAATCTGAAAGAGTTTTCAATGTACATGCTCAGTTTGATCAAGTCGAGAGCGTTCAAAAGTGGACCCGAGTCATCAGACCGACGGGTGCATGACACGCGCATGATCCGGTCAATGGGCTGCACGGAAATGTCCTTGTACCTCTACCCTCGCATTATCCCCGTGCACAACATGCAGCCGGAAGATGGCTTCGCGAACGAGCACGGACAGCTCCAAATCCCGCCCTCCCTGCGAGCCAGCTTCTCGCGTATTGAAGAAGGTGGTGTCTACATCGTGGATAATGGCCAGGCGATCATACTCTGGCTGCACGCGCAAGTCTCACCCAATTTACTGGAAGACCTATTCGGGCCGGGCCAGGACTCCCTCCCGGGTCTGAACCCCAACACTTCGTCCCTGCCTGTACTCGAGACGCATTTGAACGCACAGGTGCGTAACCTGCTGCAGTACCTGTCGACAGTGCGCGGGTCCAAGTCCGTAGCGATCCAATTGGCCCGGCAAGGCCTAGACGGGGCAGAATACGAGTTTGCCCGACTTCTTCTGGAAGACCGGAATAACGAGGCCCAAAGCTATGTGGACTGGCTGGTGCATATCCACCGCCAGATTAACTTGGAGTTAGCTGGTCACCGCAAGAAGGAAGAGGGCGGCGAGGGCGCATTGGCTAGTTTGTCGGCTATGCGCGCTCCGTATTGGTAGATGCCTGATCCGGAAAACTCCGTCTTAACCCCGTCAGGCACCGTTTTCTGCTGGTTGGTTCCTGTCAAGACTCTGCAAGTAAGCTGCAGCGGAGGAAGTGGAGGACTAATTGGTGGGGGCCATAGGGGCCGGGACCCAGCTCATTCCAGGGGAGGTCCACGGGCGACTGTGGCGCTGACTTCAGTGGCTTCTAAAGACACCTAAGCAGTGGAGCACCCCGGGCTCAACAGAGTGATGGCTAAACAGAGTACAACATAATTGTGAGACATGGGAAAATTCATTTGTGTATACCAGGGGTAGTTTCTTTTTATTATTGCGAGTTTGTGTCACAATCTCCGTGCACATGGCGAATGCCCTAGTCATCCAGTTCACAGCTATCGGAGCCTATTCAAGATGGTGCAAAACTAGAAATCCCGCGGACAATGGGACACCTAATCTGGGATCACTGAGATTTTCAAGAGTACAATGTAGAATGCCAAAAAAGAATCCAGACTCGATCGCCAGGTACGGGTCAAGGTACGGTCAATCACCTAGGCCCCAACGTCAGAGGCGTCTAGTGGGCCCCGGTGTTACTAAGGGCGCCATTGGTACAGGGCCTTTGACACCGAAGACTATTCCAAGATGTATTCTAATATTATATGCAGGTGGATATTTTTTATTGTAAGAGGGTCTAAACTGTGGAGTGTCAGCTCCCACCTACCTACTGTTTCAAGGATATGTTGTAGGTATATATCAGATTTATCGTGCATTGGATTTGGGCCACAGGCCGGTTGGATTGGTAATGATGTGTAGTAATTTGTAGGAGATATTATGACTGGCCCAATTGACCTTTAGAATATTACATCCTATATTGCACAAGACAATTGTCTGGTAATATCCGGCTTGCCACCATTATGATGCTAAAGTATACAGCATATACACCTTTCTCAACATGAATGGCTCATATTTGCCCCCTCTTCCGACTTTAATCTAGATTCTGAATTCTTTCCTTTCTACCACCATTAACCCCGAATGTAATCCGAAGGAATTGGATAGAAAACTTCCATGTGGTGGCCAGCACCGACATCCATAGAACGAGCTCCAATCCCCAGTGGTTCCTGGTGCAAATGCCAGCTCAGTGGCTGTGCAGCCACGCAGCCGAGATTCTCCCATGTTCTTTGCCATGGAATTTTGCTGGTTTGAAGTTTGTGAATCTGTTCCTTTGATCTGTATGGAAGAACCGCGGATGAGACCGGATGGACATGACGTGGGGTTCGGGGCAAGGAGATGGTTCGGGCGACAAGTTTTTGGAACTATTGCCACGATGTTCTTGAGGTTTCTAGGTGAGAGTGGGGTGGTTGACCATAGTATATTGTAGAAACACGCAGAAATTGCTACATCCACGCACTTAGCCTAGACTATGGTCTATAGGGTTATAGCGTACAGATACGAATTCCATGTAGCGGTGATGCCTTTGGTAGCAATGCGTTATGCAGTTGATAATAGATCACTTACTCTGTACATATCTGATATATAGCATTGTACCTGCCCAGAATATGTTATATGGTCTATGAAACTCGAATAAGCCCTAGAGGCGACACGCTCTTGGTTCCACTTTTTCTGAAATTCTTTTTTATTCTTTTTATTCTTTGAATTTCTTTTTTTTTTCCTCGCCTTTTTGCCTTTCGATTGACCCACAATTCCCTGAATCGATCCATGGCTCCAAATGTGTGGGTGGCTTTGCACGTTTTCTAAGTGTATGCATCTCCCTCGTTCAAAACTTATATAAACCTCCTCGATCACCCCGGGGATTTCTATTCTTCATCACATTCACTCCAGTACAATCAGTACATTCTTTTATATTCACTCTCTTCAGTCTCGAGATTGACTCTCGTTGCACTCTTTACATCTGTCGATCAGATTCAAAACTACCAACTACATCACTCTCTACATCCCAAATCTTTTCAAGATGATGTTCACCAAGTCTCTCGGCCTTGCCGCTCTCTTCACCACCATCGCCTCGGCTCTTCCCCAGGACATGATGGTCCGTCGCCAAGGCATGGTCCGCCGTGACGGCGGCGGTGTCAAGATCACCAACAACCTCCAACAGGACGTCTACGCCTGGTCCGTGGCCGGCGACGTCGGTCCCATGCAGACCATCACCAGCAGCGGTGGCACTTACTCTGAGACATGGCGCACCAACCCCAATGGTGGTGGTATCTCTATCAAACTGGCCCTCGACCCTGACCAGCACGATGTGCTCCAGTTCGAGTACACCGAGGCCGGTGACACCATCTTCTGGGACATGTCTTGCATTGACATGCAGGCCGGAAACAACAAGTTCACAGATTTCGGCTTCTCCGTCGTGCCTTCCGATGAAACTTCCACTTGCCCCAAGGCCATTTGCAAGGCTGGTGACACTGCTTGCTCTGCTGCTTACCTCAAGCCCACTGATGACCACGCCACCCACGGCTGCCCCATCGATACTGCTCTTGAGTTGACTCTCGGCCAGGCAGCATAGATTGGATCCTGTGCTTTTTTTGATTTGCCGGTTGAACCGCGCATCCTTTCGTTTTCATACCTTTCACATTTGCATCTAGCCCTAGCTGGCAGATGATTTCTTTTTCTTTCTTTTCATATATTACCCCAGATGGTGATGCTTTTTTGAGATGAGATTGGTGATTTTATTTTTTGTTTTTCAACATGTTCGGTTGATTCGACATGTCTTCTCCCCATCTATAGCAGGTTGATTCCCGCTGGGGCAGAATGTCTCGTCACGAGCTATGATTTCTTACGGTTTTGGAATACCCCCGCACTTGGATGGAATATGGAAAAATGGGAGTTTTATACATGGGGGAGAGAGATAGACTTGCGAATAGACATATGATCATCAGATCTTGAAGATTTACTGATTATGAAATATACGATCTTTACCTTCCAAACCCCTCCTTAATCTCGTATGTTAACCTTTGAACATTTGCCTGTCGAGAAGCAAGTGAAAAATGGAATCTCAAAAAACTTGAAAATCCCTGGGGCAAAAAAGGAAATCCTGAAAAAGACCCAACGGCACAAACAGGTAAAAATTCCGAGTCCACAAATGATCACCTCAAACATACGAATAATAGTGGAACCACGACGTTGTCAAACACACAAAGAACAAGTATAATCACGATCTAGAACAAGTGATAGACAGGGACCCTGAAGGGACCCCAACGCACAAATCTCCTATTCGTAGATCTAGCTCCACATGTCAGGGCCATAGTCGAGAATGTCGATCCTCCGCCAGTCGGATGGGCGGATGGCGTTCAAGATATCCACTGAGGGGTTGCGTGGCTTCAAGATTTTCGATTGGAGATTCCCGACCTGAATCTTCAATATGATTTGGTCGATCTTTTTTCGCTTTTCGGTCAAAGGACCGAGATGGATTGATTTGGTCATGATCTGCTTCGATCTGCGCTCTACGCTGTGAAGCCATATGTTTTACGGTGTTGTCATTCGGGTGTAATGCGCGCGTTTGATCATATTAATTTCGTCATAGGGCTATAGACTGCTATGTTGTACATCGTATGCTGTACAACCGAGTCTAGTACACGTGGGATAAGCAGGTACAAAACTCAAAGTGCCGAGTTATCCATTCATGTCTATCAAACACCGTTTGACAGGACTGTTCCTATGAAGAGGCGATATTGTTTATTTGGTCGAACCACCCGTCTTTAACCATGGAAGCCTTCGCCTGAATGTTTGGGAAGAACTGACGGGGGCGAACCGGTTGAAATCAAAAGCTGATTATTAAGGTTCCTCCATCCAATGGACTTGGTTATGCTTAAACCTTTTTCCCACCTCTTGGGCCGTTTAGTCGATTTGAAACGTTTCCACTCCATCCGATGCCAAGACCGCCGGCCTTCACTCGGCATGGCTTAATTCTTGGTTGTGCAGTCTAGAACCACCGTTCAAGTGTGGAGATTTCATTTCGGCCAACTCTATCCCCATTGAACACGACGTACAGTATATTTGGCAACGCGAATTAATGCCTGTTACGGCTGCCTAGATGTACCGGGTGGTCCCGGGTAGAACTGTGAGTCACGGGCTTCACCGTAGAGAAAGCAATCAGGCAGGTCGTATTTGTCACCATGTCAAATTTCCATATTAGTCAACAATAGGCTTCTCTTGACGGTGTGGCACCTACACATGGCACCGACACATGGCACCTCTTGATGCCCGACGACCTGAACAGCTCAATCACGTGACCACCTGTCAACAGCATCCAGCTTGAACAGTATGTTGTAGTATTATCTCTTTTCAAACTATGATTTTCTGGCTTCCAGGGGTTTCTTTGTCTGGCGATGTCTACCAGAACGGCTGAATCCAAGGCTCTAGGCTTCTTGTAGACATCAAGCGAATCTATGTTGTAGATTGAAGTTTCATTGCTGCCGATATTGAACTAGAACAAAAGCCTTCAGGACCCAAAGTCATGTCTATTGTTGCATATATTGATGAATCAAATAGATATATAAGAATAGGAAGTGCATTGGAGAGAAGAGGTGCTACAACTAGGATGCGTAGGGATGGTGTCACGTGACCAATAAAATGTTCGTTGTCGAGATAGAAGTTTGTATGGAAAGTAATAAGAACACAGAATTAGTCTGGAATGAGCAGGAAACTGGAGTTGCAGGAATAATGTGTGAGAAGGGGAGGGAACAAAAGGAGGGAACAAAGGGAGGAATTAGGCGAGATCGACCAGAGTCAAACCGGAACAGACAGGTAGTGGAAGATCCTAGGCACTTCCCTCATAGTACACATGCAATGCATGTTACTACTAGGCCTCCTACTGTTGAGTACCAATTTGGAGTTAGATTGCTCTTCCTTTTATCTTACAATTTCAAGAAGTTTGTTCATACAGAGACATATTAATCACTATGCATACTCAGGGAAGCTCCATAATATTAGCTTCCGACCCTTGGACTGGTTTCTTGAGACTTCATTCTCAATAAATGGTCGAGTCTAGTGTAGCCAATTGAAAAAGGAAGCAAACAGCATGTGCATGTCGCATGGGTATCTCAACTATGTACATAGACAGTAATCAAAAAAGTGAAATCCAGATCTATCTAGATTTCTTCTGAGCCCGCCACTCTCTCCACTGCTCCATAAGCTTATGCGATCTCATGACCTTGATAAAAGCATAAGCAACAACCCGATAGATGATCGTGCAGACACCCAACGCCATGATATTCATCGGCCCACTCTTATCCAAATTGTAGAGCTCAAGCACCTGCTCACCCGAATCAACCGGACAATTCCCATCAGCAAGCCTCTGAGCATCAGAGCAATGAAACACCTGGCCATGCATTGAATATGGAGCCAGATTAGCAATGGAATACTTGATCGGCGAAAGATGGTTCAGCCCCTGCAGCACATTGTTGACATTAAGACTCATGACGCCGCCGAGGATGGTTGAGATGGAGAGAAGAATCGACGTCACATTAACGGCGAAGCCGACGTGCGAGAATAGCGTACAGAACATTATGCCCACAGACTCGCCGCAGCTGATTATACAGAAACAGTTGAACGCGCTGATGAGGAACATCGTGACGGTGCGTTGTAGGTTGTCTGCGAAGGCGGCTAAGGCGCCGAAGATAAGGGATGAGATTATTTCGAAGGGGACTTCGATTGCGGTGTAGCTGAGGATGAATGTTGAGGCTGTGTAACAGTTGTCTGCTTCCTCGCGGTAGAAGACGTCGCGCTCACTGGGGTAAATTGCGATGTTTTGGAGCATGCCTGTTAGGGAATATTAGTATGCGTATGAAATTGGATAACCAGCGAAGAGAGCTGGGGGAAATAGATCAAACTTACCAACAAAGTATAACGCCGCAAACTCCTGAATGAACCCCATGCGTGATTGCACAGCTGCATAATCATTCTTCAGCGGTGCAAAGAAAAGCGCCATGATAATCGCTATTCCTGGGATCTGCATCGACCGCGCCATAACCAGCGGCGGCTGGCGCCAGAAGTTGATCACGGATCGGCGCAATACCAGCGGGAAGGTCACGCGAAATGGTAACATCTGACGCTTGAGACTTCCCATTTCTGCGGGCGTGGCAATCTGTGACGTCTGCCGGTCTAGCCCTAGCTCGAGGGGATTATCCTGCCAGCAAGAAATAAGGCCCTGCACACGCTCACGCGTGACAAGCTCACGGTCTGCTTGCTGGAGATCGACCGTGATGAGATCCAGGACGAAGTCTGCGGGGTTGGTTGTGCGTGGACACTCATGGCCTTCTTTGGCGAAGTGCATGAGCATTTGCGTTCCGGGGCCTGCGTAGACCGGGTAGCCGCCGCGGGCTAGGAGGAGAACTTGGGAGAAGTGGGTGAAGAGGTCTGAGCGAGATTGGTGGAGGGTTAGGATTAGAGTGCGGCCTTCGGCGGCGAGGCTGTGGAGGAGCTCGATTATGGACATTGCTGTGAAAGCGTCGAGGCCGGAGGTTGGTTCGTCGAGAAGGAGGACTTTAGGGTCTGTGAGGATTTGAATTGCGATTGTTACGCGCCGCTTCTCGCCACCGCTGATGCCTTTGACGAGGTCGCTGCCGATGAGGTTGTCAGCGCATTCTTTGAGCCCCATCTTATAGAGAATCTCTTCTGCGCGTCGGTTTTTTTCTTCGCGTGACATCCAGATTGGGAGGCGTAGACCAGCGGCAAATCGTAGACTCTCCCGGACAGTTAGTGAGGGCATCAGTGCATCGTCGTCCTGCGTTACGAAGGATGTCACTGAGCGGATCACACTCTCTGAGGGTACAGCGCCGTTGTATAGCATATTACCACGGACACGGTATTGTGTCCCTACAGACCCGTGCAGCCTATTGGCTATGGAGTTGAGCAGTGATGTCTTGCCACTTCCAGATGGGCCCATGATAACGTTCAGCTCTCCTGCCTGGAACTTAGCCGTAATGGGTCTAAGGATCTGTAGGGTCTTTGCAGTTTCCCAGGGGTGTTGTCTCTTTCGAATGTCCAACGCGTACTCATCAAGCGATATTGCCACTTTGCGTGCCTCCTCTGTTGGCCGGATAGCGAGCTTAGATTTCCCACTAGATTGGTCTCCTTCGGTTTTTCGGGCCTGGGCAACATCTATGGCGAAGCGGTTATATTGTAGCAGCAGACCGGCAAAGAGATAATGGCCAATGGCAAACGCGACTAGCACCACGATAGGCCGCCAGATCCAATTGGATGGCATTCCCAGGCTTTCCATGATGTAGCGCCCAGTGTATTGCTTGCAGGCTGGGTCGAGAGGGTCATCGGAGTATGGACAGGCATAGAATTGCCCCAGTTCTGAGCCATTGGGTCCGATAAATTCGTTTGCACAAAGGGCTCCAAATATGTAGAAGGTGTAGGCACACCACTTCAACCACCTCACGTAGACCGGGATCTGGTTAGACTGGACAAAGTATCCACACGCAAAGGACTGCAACGTGAAGGATAGGTTTGCTACCAAACTAGCTCCAGGGAAACTCCGCGCTACACCAATGGCCACTGCAGCAAATGTTACCGCAATGTAGTGCGTGAGCAAGGTGAGGGCGAAGAAGATAAAGAACTGTCCCGGATCCAGACGATATCCCACCATGAAGTAGAAGATGAGAGAAAAGATCAACGGCACGGGAAGATCCTCCAATGGTAACCGAGCTGCTCGTCGACTGAGAAGAAAAGCTGGCACACTAACCACGCCCTCGTTGCGTTCACGGTCAAACAGGCGAATGTCGATTGTCAGCCGATAGGTCTCATATAGTAGAATGAGATAGCCGTTTAAGCTGCTGGCAGTGTATAGACTGCCTTCCCGCGAACGAATCCCTGCCTGGCTTTCGTCAAGCCGTAGGAAGATCCACCCATTAATGACAGCCATTCCAACGGCCTCAAGGAGACTACCAGCAACACCCATCGGGTCACGGATGGTAGTCTTGAAAGTGCGAGACGTCAGAACACTGAACTGTCGACGAAATGAGACCTGCTTCGCAATTCCAGTATCAAATCTACCGACATCATCTTTCAGCGTCCCATCTTCTCTTTTCTCCTTTGCCTCGGTGTCTGTAGCTACAGTCTGCTCTGACCGCCACAACTCCCTCAGCCGCTCAACCCGAAGATTTGAAGCAGCCTCAAGCGCTTCTGTCCGATTATCAATAGCAGCAAGATCAATCAAAAACTCCGCCGGATTGACGAACGGGGGAAGAACAAATCCGCACTTCTCGAAGTGCGCCAAGCAGTCTTCCACTGAGCCACTGTAAACAGCCGCTCCCCTAGCCAATAACACAACATTATCAAAAAGACTCCAAATCTCAGAGCGCGGCGCATGGATCGAGACAACAACCGTCCTCCCATCCAGCGCAAGACGCTTCAAGGTCCTGATAATCTGGAACGCACTGGTAGCATCTAAGCCGGTCGTAGGCTCATCGCAGAACAGCACAGATGGATTCGCCAGGAGTTGCACACCAATACTTGTGCGTCTTTTCTCACCGCCACTGCAGCCCTTGTGGGCTGTCGTACCGATGCGGGTATCAGCACACTCTTTCAACCCTAGTTCGAGGATGACTTGTTCCACGATTTCGTGACGCTCTGCTGGAGTTGTTGGTGGAGGAAGACGGAGGTCTGCCGAGTAGCGCAGGGTCTCGCGGACGGTCAACGTTGGGATGAGGACATCTTCCTGCATGACGTAGGCGCTACGAATGCGCGCGATATCGGGGTCATCGTTGAAAGTTGTTGCTCCGCATGTGTTTGCTCGGGAGAGACTCATTCGGTGAGCCATTAGATTGAGTAGGGAGGTCTTGCCTGAGCCACTGCTTCCGATTATGGCGGTTAGGCTTCCACTTGGCATAGAAGCGGATACATTGTCCAGGACTGTTTTGCTTGTTTTTGAGGGCTTTTGACCCCGTAAACGCTGCCAAATCTGTGATGGGGAGGTCTCCCATATTGGTGGGTTGGTGTTGACTTCGAGTGATAGGTTACGGACTTTGATGTATACTGGGTTGACCGCGCGTAGAGAGAGATTGTATACGGTGTCTCGCACATCTGCGGGGAGAACCATCTGCTTTGCGCTCAACTCGGTAATGATCTCGTCTTTTTCCATTGGAACTCGGCTCATGTAGCCCTGGAGATACACGTCAAACTTTTCCTGTGGAGATATGATAGGCTTGGATTGAGGTCTCGCAGAATGACCCCGGATTTGAATGGGGAAAAGTCTAAATTCAAACTAATTCTCCTTACCTCGGACCCCCCCAGACTATACTTAGCTCAGCTTTTCATGTCACTCCAAACGTGGTCCTTGCATAAGCGAGGAGCGAGATCTGGTTGACAATTCTGATTCAATACTTCATATTCTAACATGGACCTCTCAGAACCTATTTGAAATCAGAATCCTAGTATCAATCTGATCACATTATAGTCATGGCCCACCACTAAAAGAACAAAGAAATAAAGTGAGATGCATAATCTCAAGGTCTAGACTCTGCGACCCTGTCCAATACACATGAAAGAAACAACGATACTATACAAGGATGAAGACCCGATTCCTATTATGCCACCGCCAAGGAAACTTTGAATATATACAATCACCTATACCAAGTCAAATAACCTTGGAGACCAAAACCACATTCCTCCAGCCATAAGAACGTATCCAACTCATGAGATCATCCAGTCGACCTCTCCACATCACTCATCCATAGCACCAATTCGGCCTTTTTTTAAAAAAAAAAAAAAAGAAATCGGAAGTCTTGTTGGAAAGACCGATTTGGCACCTGTATCTGGCAATGCAATGCAATGCAGCCAGGGGATACGCCTTTGACACGGAGAGTCCGCGACGCACCGATGCTTGCAAGCCAAGAAAAAAAACCCCCAAAACGCAAACGTAATCGTAATACTCCCCTTCAAGATGCAAATATGCATCACAGTCACAGTAACAAGCAAATAAAAAAACGCCGCATAGTACAGCCTCGTCGGAGGAGTGATCATTGTATCCCACGGGTAAGGGATAAAGGGCGGAGAATCCCCTTTCCAAGACGGTAATAATCAATAAGATCAGAAAAATAAATAACGTAGAGTGAATAGAAAATGACAGGGTATCAGAAAGGTAAAAGGGGAAAGATGGAAAAGAAGGTAGGGTATGGGAGAAAAGAATCAAGTGATCAAGAAATCCATATTCATATCATGGATGATCTTTTCCCAGTCCCAACTATCTTGCATCTGCGTATCCATAATCTCCCAAACCTGCGAAACAACCTTGAAAGCAGGCTCGATGTTTCGAAGGTTAGAGTATGACTTCAGATTCTCGAAGCCCTGCGTAATGCGCTCACGCTGCTCAGGCAAGAACGCAGAACAGCCAAGCAGGAACAGCGGCATCAGCACAATACTGAAAGCGGATGCATCCTGTGGCAGCTGATCTAGGTAGTCAAGTCCGTCATTGACGACCTGGGCGATTTTCTCGCTCGGTCGCGAGGGCCGGATCGTCCGATACAGGTACACCCAGGTTGACTGGCGGTATAGCTGGGCCAGACACCAGTTTGGGGTATTGGGCTCATGCGAGGTCTCCCAAGTACGGATAGCCATATCAATAGAAACCGCCTCGCTCAGGGTTTGGTAGTCCACTGCTGGCTCATAGCCCTCGTTGAAGCGTTCGCGGATACGATCGCGGAGCTGGGTTATCTGCGAGATGTAGTTGAAGAGCCCGTCGAATACACCGAGGAACATCCCAGCTGAGACACCGGGTACAAAGTTGGGCATGTGCAGGTCGTTGTGCAAGAGGTTGGGACGGCGGTCAAGCGAAGTAAGGGAGTTTGAGACATCGTGGTACTGGAAGAACTCGACGATGAACTGGCGGAATTTTTCGTTCCGTGGCTGTTGTGACAAGAGCAGGTACCGGGCAGCATCCATGTGCGGTCGGTATTCGCCATTTGTTTCACCTTCGCAGATGGTGTTCAAGCTGAGGGCGATGGTGGATGCGATGATCGGGTCCTCGACTAGTAGCCGTTCATCATCGTCGGGGCTCTTAGCTGATGATGACGCATTGATATTATCTTTCAAATCTTGGATAGCATGGTGGAAATGAAAGTACTTTCGCTCCTTCAGATTTGGTTCAGGATCCAGACCCGAGAGATGCGATCCGGACAAGCACATCAGCGAATGCATCAGCCCCCTATGCTGTGTCGCCATCGGGAGCAGAATCTCCTTGAAAGGATTTGAATCATCGTTTATCAGTGTCAGTACTCGACTGAACCCGTAGACAAAATGATCCAAGAAGCGACGGTCGACATCCGTTTCGATGCCGTCGATGAGGAGGGGTAAACTGCGCGGTACGGCTGTCAGAGACTGGGATCGAGCTACTAAGAAAAAAAAAAAGAATTAGCGTATCATTCCTAGCCAAAATCAAAATGTCAGATGCGCCTACCATCAGCGAGTCTCTGTCTCCCACTCTTCCAAATCTCCTTGAGTGGGTAGCCTTCGCAAACGACCGCATTCTTCTGACAGTTTTGACAACTATCTCCTATTAGACAAGGCAACTCCCTTGGAAGGAATATAACTCACGCAGGCTTTGTCTCATCACACTTCTTCTTTCTCCTTCGACAGGTAATACAACCAGTCTTGGAGCGACCTTTGGTGATCTTGGCCTGACCTCCCGGAACCGGCAGCGGATGTTTGCGTGGGCGACCACGTTTCCGTGGAACAGGCACGGGAGCGCCCGACTCCACATCTGCCTGTTTGATACTCAACAAGTCATCGTCGAGTTCTTCCATTTCTTCCACCTTGGGTATCTCCATAATATGTTCCAATTGTGCCGGATCGAAATGTGAATATCCCTTCAGCTGCTCCTGCTCTCGATCGAATGACGGTGATTTTTCGCCATTCCAGTCTGAATCAACCGAGGCATCATCAGTGCTAACACCAGTGCTGGCGCTGGATGTGCTGGCTCGGATTACGGAACCCCGAATTCCTAATACAGGTATATCCGATCGGTCACGACTCTCCCTCTCAATCTCATTCAAATCCGGGGGAAAGAATGTATGCATGGATAACATTGAAGAAGCATCCGATAAGAGTCTAGATGCGCAATGCTGACAAGAGGGGGGAGATTATCGGGTATAAATGGAGAGGGGGAACGGGAAAATGTGCTTGGTCCACCACAGTGCGTGTGATCAGAGAATACACTTTTAGATCCAACAGTTAAAGAGGGGGAAAATTCTAGGGCAATCTGAAGGATATTAAGGGTATAAAGGGTATAAAGAATATAAGGATATAAGGATATAAGGATATTAATATAGAGAGGGAGAGGGGGAGTCTAGGGTATGAGTGAATCCAATGTGTAATGAAAACTCCACATATAACTTTCTAGCTATGAACGCATTAGTCTCTAAATTTATAATCCTAGTTAAGAAAGCCATTTGAGTGATTTAAAGAATATTCTAATTTAAAAAAAAAAAACATACATATTCTACGTACTTATTCTCTAAACTTTCTATGCGGGGGAGGCTGCCAAGCATGTTGGATCTGACCTGATTTGCAGTGAAGAAGCCCCCCAAAAAAAGCAATTTGACAAGGGCATCGTTATGGGGTTTTGCGTTTTATTTGCTTATTCTTCTTTTTTTTTTCGGGAATTGACTCGTTGCCTTGGAATCAGATTGATCTTTAGATCCAGAAGTCCTACCTCGTATGATTCTGGGCCAAAGCTTCATCTAGTGTAGTATACAGTACGGAGTAGTACACATGTAGTATACAGTAGTATACAGTAGCATACAGATCTTCGGGCATGTTACTCCGCACATATATCCCTATAACGTGGATGATTTGTCACGAGTTATGTACTCCAGATATCAAACCTGTAAGACATTCCCCCTTGATCCATTGGAAAGACTGGGGGCCAAGGAAAAATAACCCCGGATGTGATGCTGCATGGTCCCCGGAGAACCTTTGGGTAGAATGAGGTGTACTAATAGATATTACGGAGTACTTGGCGATATATTTCTCTTCCCACGAACCATTAAGCTGGAGTATAAGCCACTCCCCGCACTATCGAAGCTTTTCTTCCTTTTTTCTCTCTTCTTTCTTTCCTTTTTCTCTTGTACAATGAAGAAGCGCGTCCGGTGAATCTGATGGGGAGATCCCCTGTCGGGGACCATTCCCATCATTCGGGTCTAAGCGCCCCCGATCCCCGTCCATATTGGAAATTTCCCCTAATTTCGATTATTATCTCCTTATGTGTAACGCCAACAAATCTGGGGTAAAGAGTGGGCCAGATCTTCTCGCGACCAGCACGGACATCCGCTGCAGGGAATCGACAAGGTTCGGAATCCAGAGCCCTTCATTCCGCCTATAGAATATACGTAATGTTCTGTGGAGAATCCGTCTGTCTTTCTTCAGTTGCTTCGTCACTCCTTTCTATTTGTGTTTGACATTTTTATCGTGTCCTTTCTGCCTGTAACAACCCAAAGGGGTGGAATGTGGCGAGGTCACCAAAAGTACACACTGCGCAATGCCCTCCGTGGATCTGCCGGGAGACTAACAAGGAAACACACTCGTCTGGAGTTAATAACGGGCTAAGGTTGGGGCCCTCTTTTTTTAGCCCTTTTAACCATTTTTGACTGATCAGCTGAGACGCGGCAGAGAGAAAGATTTTCATACCCCTGTTAAGTTTCCGACGCCCGAGCTTCTCCGCTTACGTATGAGGGTTTCATATGAGCTCCATGCACTAGAGGTTAGGCTATGTGAGTACAAGGTCAATTAGAAAAAGAAAAAAAAGAAGAAATCTTAAATTTTGAATCGTTCAAAGATCGACTATGCAAGTCCATTGATCTGACGGGGGACTAACAATCAGGCCAATGGCTCGATGACGGTATGTGCCGCTAACGAGTCAGGCAATTTATACGGATTTCGCTAAAAATATGGGGAACGCGAAGTCCCCTTTTTGGCGTCACATTAGAATCCCTGCCCTCCGTACGGAGCACCGTCTCTCTCTACTATATTGTACTCCGTATATTGTATACAATTCCAACAAAGAAGTATCCGCTTCCAAGGTTAAAGGCGGGTCAACGGTTATTCCCGCTCAGTGGGGCCGAAGTAAAACCAAACAACCTTAGGAGAGACCATGAATGTATTGAATATAATCTTGTTGCTCGTGAGTAAGGGGTATGAAGCAATGAGTTATATGTAGCTAGGGGAGGACAGAGTACGGGGTACGGAGTACGGGGTACGGAGTACGGGCTACGGAGTACGAAATCCAAATCTGACCTTCGGGTAATAGGACGGGGACCATATGACCAGGGCGTGGACCAGTACAGTAACTAAGCCGAGGTTCAGGTCTGGACCATCTTTTTCGTACTTTTTCACCCTCTCGGCCTCTCTCTCTCTTTCTCTGGATCTTTGACCTCCTCCCCGTACAGATGTGGAGCGAGTAATTGCCTAAACAAGTTACTCCCGTCCATCCTCGGGGGTTCTCCGAGAGAAGACTTCCACGCCAGTGGATGTGGACACGAGGAGAGATTGTTTAAGCGGCGTTCGCCGCATGATGGAATTCCCGCCAGGCACCATCGGAACTGCTGCACGACCATTCCTGGGTCCGATGATGCGAAATATACCAATCAAAAACTAATAGAACGAATTGCCGTCTTGCGCAGGACACTAGTCAGATCATCAAAAAAAAAAAAAAAAAAAAAAAGTCGGCTTCCACCTTCCTATTGGATGTACACAGCCTCCATTCAACTCGTCCAGCCGATCTCTCCAATTAAATTATCCAAAATCAGTTCGGAGTTGATGGCCTTTTCAATATATACTTTGTACTCCGTATAAATGTACATTAGAATCAGCCTCGTTTTTGCTCTACTTAGCGTCAGTTCTGTTTTTCTTTCAGCCCCAATTTCTCCCAGGAAAATCAGAATTTCGTCAGCTTTGGTCACAAGTTCTGATTATTCTCTTGACTAGGTTTGGGTCTTAATGGGAAACTTTGGAAACCTGAAACATTTCGCTTTTGAGATTATATGACGCATGCAAAATAGGAAAAACATAACTCCACATTGTACTCCGTGCCTAGAGCAAATAAAGCTCAGACCACTCGAATGCAGGATGAACAACAAAGGCTATCCAGACTATATCACAATCCCTCTGTTGTTGACATTCGTGTGGCTACATCAGGCAAAACGCGTAGGTGACTGCATTTGACTTAGGTAAAAGAAATGGAAAGTATCCCTTCCGGAAAAGAGATCAAGGCAAGAGATGAGTGGCTCTTGTTTTTCATATGACATGGGCTAACACATAGTATGATCGACACCCAGAACAGAACTTGTGGATTGTGGATGCGACACTTTGGTCTCTCCCAGATCGCCGAGCATCATACCAGAGGTTCAACTAAGACTCGGCGTATTTTGCTTACTTCTATCGTAAACTTTGCATTTCAATAGTTCGGGATATGGGACTCGGGAATACAAGAGCTAAGATCCTTTGGTTATAATTGGACATACCCACTTTATGTTTGGCAATTCTTGTTTGGCAATTCTTGGAACAATGCCAGATCTCAGACATACATTACTATTGTCTGTGAGGAATCTATTCGTCCTGTGCACAAAAATGACTGGTGGGAAGTCTTTCTGCTTGACGTCCATGAGACATATCGATATTTGCCCTCTGGCACTTGCAGAACCCCAGGTTGTTCATACGTCAGCCCAACCTAGTAGCCTAAAGTGCAGCAGTATTACTATTTCTTTATGTTACATAAGATGTCATCATTAACAGCTTTTATAATACTCAGAATATCTTGCAAACCTCCAAGCCACATGAAATGACAGGTAGTACTAGACTTGTTTTGGGCTTGGGGCGTAGAAATGATAAAGGCACCCAGCCTACTACCATCAGCAAGATCACCCAAAATTCAGTCATCTATATCATCTTTCGATGGGTACAAAAATGCAAGGAATAAAGAAGTAAAGAGAAAGGGGGTTCTCTATACTAGGTAAGCACAAATGCCTAGGCACTAACTCTGACCTGAGGCTCTAGATTTCTCTTCTTTATTCTTCTATAAGAAAAGAGAGAAGAGGCGAATTGGCGCAAGATCGACCGGAGGAATCGGAAAAGATAAATAGTGGAAGATCCTAGGCACTTCCCACGCACTATGTATGTTACCACTAGGCCACCCGCTATTGAGTACCCTCAGATATGAGGTTACGCTTCCTTCTATCTTACACTTTTTGAGGCTTCTTTACGGACAGAGAAAGGGGGCTCGCTATCTCTATCTGAGACATATGCCCATACCTAGAATAAGTAAATGTTGTCATTCGACCTACTTCAGTCTCATATGGTTAGTAGCTCCTTCCCAATTCACCAGGACTATTGAGAACCTTTTCGGGGTGTGAATCCTCCCAGAACTACTCAAATATGGGCATAGTACCGAGCGATTCAACGGGGTTTGAGCTTCTGATACTAGTTGCGGGACTAGAGTACGAGCCTGGGTGCTCCCTTGGAGTACAACAGCACTGTATAGCGTCGGCATTCCGACGGATGGCAGTACATTTCAATATTCTATTTCTCTTTTAGAAGATATAGACAAGGCAATATGAACAACATATGTACTCACGTCGCAGGGAACAGCATACGATCGTCTTTGGGCTTCACGGCGCAGTCGAAGTCAACCAAGTGGGGAGAAAATTATATCGGTTATTTTACCAGCGAGGTTACCTATACTTCCGTTTTTTTTACAGTCCCCTTCGCGAGACGTAAGTATACCTAAGTAGGCACAGGACAATGTTAGCTTGATCAGAGACATCGCTGGCAATTGCCCCCCTGAGGTAGTGTGATTTCCACACTGATTTGGATATAGTTAAGTACCTTCCTATTTCGAAGATTTTCACAAAAGAAGAGCTTTTATTGTTCTTGGGGCAACTGGGCAACTGGATTGAGGCATTTTCCGTCGACCTAAGATGAGTATCAATTAGGCCTCCGTTTCAAAATGGACGCCCGGGGCGTAGTGGCTGTCATTTCTGGTGGCGTATATCCCGCATAGTGAACATTCAAGGGCCATCTAACCGAAAAAATCAACTTCTCCGTTTGGAAATAGCTAGAAGAGAATCGGGGTGGAAGAAATTCCACACATCCATGAAAACAGCCTGACTCCTGAGTGCCTCCTGCAGATTCAAGTGGAAGGAGCACATATGTCATTTCCTGGGTCGATCTTCCCGGACATTCAAGCTTGATGGTGACGCGGAGGATTGCACCGATAGACAGATGGATCCTATCGATTCCACTAGTTCCCAAGGTTATCAACGCAGATCGATCGTGGCGCGAACACACCATTTAAGCCCCAATCTTTAGTTCAATTTGAACAAGGCTATATTCAATGGTCGCGGAAGCCCTTCGTTGCTTTCCCATTCCAAGGTCATCTCCGGGGCTCTTTGTGTGTGTTGTCAGAGGATATCTTGTCCAGTCTGATGGGCTTGATAAATCCTTGGCATACCTCTTGGAAGTAAACTCCAGGATAGGAGGTTGGTTTCAGGTTTAATTCCAAGGGAATCCATGTCCTGCAGAATAAACTTCGAAGTTCTGCGGACTCGTCTGAAGGATTGGTGTTATCGAATCGACAGATCAACTTCCTATTTCTCGGCGCCAAGATATTAATGAGCGAGATTGTTCGGCAAATCTGCCTTTGCATAACCAATATGCATATACCCGGCCCGGTGGAAAGCTCGAGGGGAAAGGTTGAAGCAATAACGGGGTACACTACTCCGTCTTGTTGAGGTCAATATTCAGCTCGCACCGGATGGACTCCCTACGAGTTTCTCCTGGCGTACAGCATCTAGTCTTCGGTATCATCTTCTCATTCCCCTTTCCCAGATAGACCTGTGTTGAGGTCCTATCGGAAACCTGTGTTGTAGGTAGTCCTGGAAAATGCGCAAAATGGGCTACATCAATCTAGCTTGAGTTCAAGGTCGCCAAAGTTGATGATACTTCACGCCTGTGGCAGGCAAAGCCAGTATACAGACCGCGGAAGTTCTGCTACATACATCAGCATGTGATGCGAAAGCAATGAAGTAGACATACCGATGACGGATTTGTAAGCTAGTTGTAAGGTGCCTACGACGCGGTTTCCTACACGGAGATGCATCCAAGTATATACGAAGAGCACAGTACAAGTCTCAGAGACGGTAGCAAATCAATTGACAAGACACAAGTAGCCCATTTAGAAGTAAAAGCCGTATCCCAACCGTGTAGACCGATCCCAATGCAAAAGATGAAAAGGTTCCATTGAACCCGTAGCCGTGACCCGATCGCATATGAAAAGCAAGAATTCGAATTACCCCGACCCATGCAAGATGCTAATGATGACAAATACAAAAATAAAACAACAAGGATATCACTGAAATAGCACCAGGAACAAGACAAGACCCCCTCTCTAGGGAGCTGCAGCAGGTGAAGAAACATAGACATGGCGACAAAGCGTGAGGCAAAGCTGGGTATTAGCCATGTGAAAGGGTTCGGGTTTGAAGCAAGTTTTCTGTTTTCATTGAACGCTCTAAGCGATGAAGGCGCGGTCCAGTTGGCGCAACGCCCTCGTGTCCTCGCCGCCGAATCCGATCTTCTCATTGGGGATATCGCGTGGCCCCTCGGCGAAGGAGCTCTGTACTGGTGCTCCGTTCGGGCTCGCAGTGGGGCCACTAGGAGAGGCAACTGAGGAAAGAGGTGCCAGCGATGCACCGTTCATTAATGAGTTGATTCCGGGAACTGCATTTCCGGAACTCGTAGGATCGGAAGGTTTTGGTGACGCGACGATGGGATTAAGTGAGGGCAACGCAGCGGGTTGCTCCTGCTTCACTAGGTGGGGGCTGTTCGCGTGTCCATTTGATTGCGCAATGGACTGGACTGGTACGCGCGGCGATGCCATGCGAGGATCAACAAGAGCATGTCCGTAGATCGGTGGGGTGCGTTGCTCGTGAGCGTGTGCTGCGTGGGCGTGAGCTTGGGCTTGGGCCTGAGCGTGGGCATGGGCGTGTGCGTGAGCGTCGTGTACTGAGCGCGGCGATCGATTCATGTAACTTAGTTGTTGTGACGGTCCAGCTGGAGGTAATGTTGATTCCATATGAGGTCGATCATATGGGCCCGTCATCCCATGTGGAGGCGGGGGAAGTCCACCGGCATGGGGTGGGGGCTGATGGTGTGGTGGGCCATAATGATGTCCATTGGCACCTACTGGGGGAGATAAGAAGGACCAGGACCGTATTGTACTGAGACAGTCGGTGGTGTGGCTAGAGGAGTGGGCGGCCAAGCATAGGCAGGCGGGTATGGCTGTGTATGAGTGACGCGCGGGTATGCGCCAAGGGGATGAGGAGTGATGGGGTAAGCAGCACCCGCCATAGGCCCACGGGTAACGACAGGGAGATTTTGCTGATCATTGACTGTCGATTCGGGATAGAGACCTTTCTGAGGTCGAACATGGCGCAGCGCAGGATCTGAAGTTGGTTGTTGCAAGTTGGCGGCAGAAGGATGGGAACGTGAGTAATAGCTGATGAGATGCAAGTGTTGACCGTTTGATGTCGTGATACTGAAGGACTGTTTCATCAAGCCATCTGGCTTATAACGATACCCATCTGGGCCCTCGTCCGTGCCATCAGCACGATCATCGTCACTGCCGCGACTCTCAGGCGTCTTGCCTCCTCGAGAGGTAGAGCCCTGAGAGACACTTCCGCCTCCACGCTTGCCTTCCATTTCGCGATAAGTCAAAAAGCTACCAGATACACGACTAGCGCTCCATGACTTTCCGTCAGTCCATCGCCGCATACCCGCTTCTCGCTCATCCCATACAAAGACCGAGCCGGACCGGATTGATTGTCGCTCTTTCTCTGATAATCGCCTTTGCACGCGAGGTAAAAGGCCGATACGACAAGCCTCAAAAAGAATGATAGCGTCCGCAGGTGTGCGAACGTGCCCGTAATACGTCTCCATCCAAGCTCTCGAGTCAACCGAGGACCCCGGTTGATTGGGTCTGATTGCCAGGTTGAGGGATAGAGGGGGTGTTTTTTTAAGTGGGAGTACAGGTCTGAGGGAAGTTAGATCTAAAGGGAAAAGAAAAGAGGCGCAAGTGGAGAGGAAGAAAATAGGGTTCAGGTCCTATAAAAGGAACCAGGATCTGACTTGGGATATGGGGTAGCCTGTAGACCGGCGTGGGTAAAGGCCGAGCTTTTACGTCACCCAAGGCGGTTAGACCGGCTGAAAAGTATTATTTTCTCTTTTCTTTTTCTCTCTTTTTCTTTTTTTTTCTTTTTTTCTTTTTTTGATCCAACTTTATCCCAAAATGGAAGAGCGAGAACTTCAAGAGATTGATGTGGGCCAAGTGGATTTGAAGGCGTAAGAATGCCGAACCAGAGGGAGAGAGCCAAGGCTGAAAAGACACAAAGAGATAGAGAGTGGGGGACCTACTTTATGACTCCACTAGGTTTTTTGAAGGAATGGCTTAGCTGTTATCTCGGGAACTTTTTTTTTGGGAAATGATAATGAGTAAGAAAGAGAGAAAAGGTGGAAAGGAGAAAGAAAAAAAAAGGGAGAGAAAGAGAGAGACAGAGAAAGATCTTTCAACTAATGCAAGCTTATAAAAAACAATGAAGAAATCATAAAAAAAGAAGGTTAAATAAGGGAAGCGGAGAGACGAAGAGCGGATCAAGCGATCCAAGCGAAAAGATCGAACGGAACTTGCTAAACGCCGAGATTCCACGAGGATTGATTTAATTTAATTTACTCTATTTACTTTATTTAAGTTATTTAATTTTTTTTAGCTTGAGTTTACCCTTGGAGTAATACTGGAATCTCTTTGAAATCCAAATTTATAAATTTATGCATGGGGGAACCTTGGTAAAAGATGAGGTCTGTACCTAAAAAGGCTTCAATATTGTGTAGCCTATGTATTTATGTGCAAAAGTATAACTCAATCCTTAACGCCCATCTTTAAAGTCTCAAATTCTATATTGGAATTAAAAATTCTATTTTCCTGTCACGGGGAGTGAAACAGTTTTCCGGATTGGTTAATTCCACGTTGGTTGACTCTTGGCTCGGCTTTACGGGGTTTGAAAAACCTTGGAAGGCAGTAAGGTTAATTTGGCCCCCCTTCAAAGGCCCCATTCCTGATAGATTAAGCTAAAATGGGACAAAGGGTAGAAGGATCAGCAATAATAGATAGGCAATGTGCACGGAGTGCTCTATACGCAGTACGCAGTATGGTAATAATACATAAATCAGAATAAAAATAAAAGAAAGGTATGTACATAAAATGTTCTGTGTCAGAAAAGTGGCGCTCTGATCGCGAAAAAGAAAAAAGGTTAGTGCGGAACTCTTAAGCTTAATCCAACACGAGGAGGCCGGCGCTGAACTTTATGTTTGCTCGCTTACAGAGGCCCCTCCACCGTGGTTTATTTTCATTCTTGGCAAATGGCGGGAAACTTCATCAATTCTACTCCGTATATTGTACGGAGTATGGAGTAGTGGGTTATTCTTTCGGTGTATCAGTGTATGTCTTACATAACATAGTTAACTAACCTTCCTTGAAAGGTTCCAGGGTCGGAGAACATATCTACATACAATATAGGTACATCGCACCTTTCGGACTCCTCAATCTGACTTCCGTCATCAAAAGCTCGATTTCAAACGCTATTCTCCGACAAGAGTGTCTTGTTTATGATTTTATTTTCTTACAAAAAGAAACAAGTTGACTATCAGAATTTAGCACCCAATGAGGAACTTGCGTGATCACCTATGGATTAATAATAGCCTAGACAGGGTTTTGAGCTGTTCCGTCCAATGCGGCCTTATCCAGCACCATATCCCTTGACAAGTCCCCATACGAGTCATATCCAAACAAGGTTGATCTTAGCGAATCTGGCCGGACATTTTAATTTACATCCGATATCCGATATCCCATAGGCTAAAGAAAATAAGAAGAAGCCACAGTGGCCATATCCTCGTGACTCGTACTCGTATCGGGTCCAGTGACGCAGCGTTTTGATTTCAACCTGCGCTGACCACAAAGCTTGACGAGATACTAATCCAGATCAAAGCCATGATGCAAAGAAAAGGAAACAGGAACGCGATGCAGTGTACTTCACATGAAATATATGTGACAAGAAATCTCTACAATATAGGTTTCAAGCCTATTGATCTCATGTACACATTTGCGCACGCAAAGGTATGCACGGGGAGAGCTAAGTAAGAAGCCAAGAAGCCACGTAACATGATCGCCACGGGCAAGCATACAACGGATTACAGCTGGTTATACTCCGTACTAGCTACGGGCTATGTATTTGTAGAAAGTGCACTGCTTCGTATCTGACTTACATTGCTCGTGTTCCGACTAGGAATAACAATGCACAAGTGGCTTGAAACTGAATGATTCGCCACAACTACTAAGCGATGGGCCAAAACATGATTCGACTAAATTATATCTGCTGACACATTGACTCAGCGATAAGGTTAAATGGTCCGAGTCTGCGCTCCGTGCCGTTCATGTTCGCCGTGCAGTTAGCCTTGTACTTAATTAGCCTTGCAGGGGGCCTCGCATTCTAGATCCAAATTTCTACCCCTGTACATCGCATGAGGCGTGAAAGGTACCAGAAACATTCGGAAATCGCCGCCACATTGACATCTCTGGCCATGAACACTTGAATTTGCACTAAATCTTTATCATAATTTGGCATGTTACGCACGGGCCGAATAATGCAAGCCAGTGAAAGCGTATCGCCAACAAAATCCCCCGTTGTACAAGGATCACTCTAATAGGGTTCGGGGGAGCTGGTCAAGCTTGGCAGCTGATTTTCTCCTTGGCTTCAGCCCTGATTCAGATTTGGAGTTTAGGAAGCTCGGGGGCCCATGGGTTTCTATTCTAACAAGAGAGTATGGCGCCAGTCGATGGTATCAGCGTACTTCGTACATACACTGTATCGCCTGCATTACATGTCTCACATGGCACCGTCCTGTGTGACTAGAACATCACAGTGTTGACCTGGTTTCCCATCTACCAGGTCTGCGGAGTGTGTAAGGTCGCACTGCTTGCTTTATCGAGGTTTAATATGATAAGAAAAAGGGTTCGGGCGATCAAATAGAAGACATACAGAAGAGTGTGTATGATCTTACATGTAAGCTATATGATTAGCAGACTAGTACTCCGTACTCCGTATGATTATGCTGTGTTCTTGTGCTGCCACGGCGACAATTGTGTTAATGGTTAATGATAGGCTCTGGGCAATAATCGAGGTTAACAACCAGACTGGCGCAGCTGATCATTTGTAATGTCGAAAAAGGAAGTTGGAACGGTTACATCTTCGCCTTGTCAATCAATTCAACAAAGATTCTCTTCCAATCAATGCGATAAAATAAGCATAACCAATATCACAAATCACCACATGTATTCCCTTACCTTAAGCATGCAACCATCCATGGAGGTACTTTATACAACATACGAATTCGATTGGAGATTAGTGGAGAAGCTCAGGCCCCGACCGAATTTTTCATTTCTGAGGATCGCCTGGATCCATGGCCGACACCCATGATCCCGCAAGTTTTGCTACATTAGGATAGTCTGGTCTCTTATTTTCCCCAGGCGGAAAATCATCTTCGGTTTCTCCGATATATGTTGCCCCATTACTTGAAGCTGCGGTATAATCATACCAATATCCACATTTGGACTTTCCTAATCAAAAATGCCAGCTTGTCAGCTTCGTACGAAAAAGAAAAACATTGCGTACCACAAACGTCCATCCGACTATCCGAAAAGACTCTTTTTTCTAAGTGGATCCAGCTCCACATCTCGCTAACTACAGTATATCTCACCTACTGATACACATAAAGTAACCTTGCGGGATAAGCCGACTGTTTCGCCGACCGTGGTTCGTGCGGACCTACTGCAACTATATTCGTTAGCTACCAATCTATTTCATAGTCTCGGACTACCTTCGGATTAAAGATAGGCACGGAGCTGAGGTTTAACTCCGCTACACGGCATTTACTTTTCTGAATAATTTCCGATCCGAGATGCTCAGATGGGTGGCCTAGGATTATGAACGAGAGCCTCAAGTCAGCCGAGGTATTTTAATTGGATTCCTTTAGTCAGAGGCACATAGAAGGCATCTGACAGATAGAGTGGAAAATGACGTGCGATTCTTGTATTGTCATGCATTCGTTGCAACCCTAGAATTAAAGGTTGCCAAGAATTAATTTTGTGAAACGTCACACGAGCTTATCTCCACTAGCATAATTAAGGTATCCATTGTCTGTATGAATAGGGAATGTGCTAGAACGGGCATTACTTTTTTTTCAATTTTATTTCGTATTGTATTATGGGTAGGTTTCATTGCATGGGGTCAAAAGGTTTCATTTTATTCTAGTCCAATGTTTGTAATATTGAGTTTCAACCTTGTATTCCAACCTGGGAAGGCTATCATATTCATCACATCCTAGGAATCTAGAAGATGGCAGTGCAACAAATGCTGGTGCCTACCCAAATGGTAAGAATCGTAAATCTTGAGGCCAAGAGTCATGAATGCCAAGATGACAACTTTGGCTAGGCTTATGGGGGCAAATGTCATCGAAGGCTAAAACCCGGTTTCCCTTTTAGAAACCATGGAAACATTGGCTGCAAATTTATGGTTAATGTTACCTCCGTACCTTTATTTTGTACTTAAATTGACTTTACTTTACATATCTTCCATGGTTCATAATTTACTTTGACCCAGCTGACATGGGCATAAATCCATGTGGCGTGCATGATTTTCTCTCGGGGAGTTTCTGAAGCGAATACGAAGATCTGTAATATTGGAGTGTAACCTTCAACGGAGTAATCCTGGATTATCATTTACGGACCAATTACTGGAGCGTACTAAAATAAATAGGATATTACCATTACTGACTCCGTACTGGCTACCGTAAATCACATCTTCATATTTGCAATGTGATACGTCAGGCAGGGATGTACTGCATGACTCGTACAAGGCGCGCACTGCCCAAACTACTTTTTGCTTATGCTTAACCCTGGTAAGGTTGGGGCCCCTTGCCTGCTGATCCTGGCCCCCTTATTGGCATACAGGTTGCGCTCGCATTGTCAAAGTCAAATATATTGATTCAAAGGCTCTACCTCTTCCTATGAGGCTGTGATCTTTCCAAATTCTAATCTGATGTACTTTCGTTCGATTATACAATTGCTCCTCGCCACAATAATAAGAAAAAGTGGCAAAACAAATCTATGTGTCCCAACTGAAACCGGAATGCTCGGCATTAATAAGCGAGATCCGAAATAGAAACTGAGCCAAAATACTCCAAAATACTCCAAAGTTCCGCGGCGGACCACGTTTTCTCCTGGAGTATGCCGAGGCTCAATTCCTTGAATTTCATTGCCGATGAACAACCCGTCTCGCTGTCTTGTTTCCTAATTAGGGTACTAATATGAATCTATGTTGTAATCTTCCAAGCAATCTACCTACAACAGTACTCCGTGCTGCCCCAAGGGCTAGTGCCACGCCCCAATTTTTTTACGTTTCGGTGGGACGCCTCATTTCCAGACTACAGTGCTTGGCTTTGCTTGGGGTCCGGAGCTCCGGTGCATAAATCAGGGATAAATTTTGCCGCTCAGGTACATATTGTACGAGGTACACATAAACGCCAATATGCTACCCCAGCTATGTATGCATGTACCAAAACGTCCGGTCTACCCCCGTAGAGTTACTTTTCTCGTGAAACGATCGTCTACGCCTGGCGCTCTGCTAATGCAGCAAGATCTGTGCCTTAATTTTATCCCTCGGTCAAGTTAAACAGCATATGTTTATTTCGTCCGTGCGGCGCTTTTTGACGTTGAATGTCTTGCACTCTAGTTCAGCCCTGTATGTGAGTATCAATCATACGTACATCTCTGACCTTTCAGGCTGGTGTTATGTTTTGATATCATATAACGATGTGCTATTCCCTGTTTAGTACGAGGGCTTTGGACTCGGATATTTTTTTCACTCTCTAGTTACGTAGCATTCCTTCGGGTTTTTAGCGTTGCGCTTTGTTCTGGCTTCTTCGGCCGGTTGTCTAGGATGATCACTTGGCTGAGTCTTGGGACAGGGGCCAGATCCAATAATGCAAAAGGAATAACGACTGTGGATGTAACTATAATTTAGTCTTCCTTTTCGCCCGAATGCCCATTCATTTATTTTGAGCCTTCAGGTCGCAATTTAAAATTAGAATCTTGGGCTAGCGAACAAAACGGGGAAATGGGCATATAAAGGCGGGTAGATCAATAAGCTCTACATATAGCCTCTGCCCTAGTTCTTATATTCTGGAGATCTACGGATACACTCCGCTCGGAGTATGAAGATAATTTAGTCGCTGGGCATTTTCTTCCCCTTTCTTTCCCGTCCCCTGTCACTCACGTCAGAACCATGGAGTTCATAATGCCTGTGCGGTATATATTTTGATCAGATTGTCCTAGGGCGCCTATTACTTGTGTGGGATGGAGTAAAATACAAAGTAGGCTGAGCCGGGCACTGCCGGTTGGTATCTGCAAGCCCTTTTTTTTAACCTTCAGGTGGTAAGAGGCATGGGTTCTCACTAGTCGAATTTGGCCACAAAGTGCGACGGAGGCTCCGTTATGCGGAAGTCGACGGAATTAGTCCCCCTGTCTTTGTCCTATTCGGGAATATGTCGGCAACTTTTTCCTGGTGCCGTTGGGGATTCAGTGTCGCTCCGCGGTTGATAAGGAATGCTTCATATGTTTATTGTCAATAGAGCAAAAGCCAGGTCCAGTTATGGGTTACAGAGTGGATCATCTCATGTCGCTTTTGGATTGTTTTCAATTTTATTTCACTCTTTCTATGTAAATATGTTTTTAGTTTTCATGCATATTATATTACAAATCTATCATACGCCCGGCCAGATGATACCATCGATAAGCCTCAGCAATCAGCACGACCGAAGTATCGCGGGAAGGCTACGATATCCCGAACGCTAGAGACTCCAGTCAAGTATCCCAGGAATCGATCGAAGCCGAGCCCAAAGCCTCCATGAGGAGCAGAGCCCCAGCGTCGGAGGTCAGCATACCATTGGAGGTGGCTCAGGTCCTCGTCAGGGGCGAGGTGAGGATACAGCGCGTCGCCGGGAGTTAGATCACCAGACTCAGGAATTTGTCGGGGCTTGATCAGACCGTGCTCACGCATGTTCTGGATGAGATTGGGGAGGCGATGCTCGCGCAGGGAACCCCCGGCGACTTCGCTGACTTCGGGGAGGAGCAGATCGAAACATGCTACTGTCTCCCCGGGTGTGTTGCTGCCATCGGTGGCCTGCGAAGGGGCCATGTAGAACGGCTTGACGGTTTTCGGGTAGTCCGTCACAAAGACAGGACGCCCTTGATGGAGAACCTCGACGATATACTTTTCATGCTCAAGTTGTAGACCTCCATTCCATGTCGGAGGATGCTCGAATAATGCTCCGTCTTCGGCAACAGCACGCTGGAGCATCTCCACTGCTTGGGTGTACGTGACACGGTGCCATTTTGGCCCATCCATTAGATCGGTCCACCTTTGCCGTAGAGACCCCGTCTCCTCGGCGCTAGTTTCCTGGCCTGGCTCGCCAGACCTCTTGGCCGACAGAATCTCCTGGCCCACAGGAGTATTATATAGACGACGCGTCAGATCGCGTAGCAAATGTTCCACTAAACCAGTAAGTGAGTCAAGGTCGGACATAAAATTGACCTCGGCCTCGAGCATATAGAACTCGCTGAGGTGGCGCGGTGTATCGCTCTTCTCCGCCCGGAACACAGGTGTCAATGTCCAGACATTGCCAAGCTCTGCCGCATAAGCTTCCAGGTGGAGCTGCGACGATACAGTGAGGTATTTTGGTGCTCGGAAGAAATGCTCGTTCTCAGTGCTAGGTGTAGCGGCACCACGTGGTGCCAATGTGAACGTTTCACCTGCGCCTTCACAATCCGAGGACGTTATAAGGGGAGGTTGAACTTGTGTAAAAGCTCCGTCCGGATGAGAGTGGAAGACATTGCCAAGTTGAAACATGCACTCGGATCGGAAGCGCGAAAGGAGGGAATTGAAGGGTGTGCGAATGCGGAGGTGCGGAATCTGCCGCAGGAAGTCGGGGCTGTGGTACTTCTTCTGGATCGGGAACGTCTGCAACGGTTGGTATCATGGTTAGTGTGAGGTCCGGCGACAGCTGGGGGAAAGCTCTCGAGCTCACCTCTGGGTCCGATGCGCCTACAACCTTGACATCGGTTGTTTGTAGCTCATGAGTTTGCTCTTTTCCCGGTGGACAAGCTTTCCATACGCCCGATATTTCAATCGCGGTTCCAGTTGATAGACTAGAAAAAGGGCGCTCGAGTTAACCTTCATTGACAAATGGGTCAGGGATCACAGCTCGCGCGCGATCGTACGTACTCTGCTGCTTGCGCAGGTTTCAAGAATGCCTGCAGTGGCTCCACGGTCGAGCCATCAGTTATTTCTGCGAAGGCAAAGCGTTTCTGCTTCCGTACAGACCGAACGAACCCGTTCACTTTGATTTCTTGGTTCTCGAAGCTACAGACTCCGCCATTCTTGCTAGCTTGGAGGATCTGCGCGCACCGCACGATAGAGGGACGAGCATTAATTGAGCTATTGTTAAGCCTGCCCATAGACGTGGCGAAGGTCCGCCGCCATATCTGCATTGCTGAAGGTTCTGTGGGGTGAATGGAATGATCGGAGAGTTCGGAGATCGCGGCCAGGAAACTTATCGGCGTTGATGTCGGTCCGATTGGCATTCTCACCTGGGCAGCATTTACTGACTGTGTCAATCATCGTCTCGGTTCTTGGTGCTAAAATGCTGTGTTACAAGGCATGATTAATTTCGAAATAATATGTTAGATATATATGTCGTAGACTACACGCTCGTTGTGTCCTCGGAGTCCTGTACAGCCGTTTATATATAATCGGACCCGCCCTACCAAATCATGCATCTCAATATAGAACCAAATCATATAACAAGAATAGCCAGTAAAAAGATTAGAAAGACAGCCCAGAAGGTATATACATATAAGGTCCTGAAGAAACCCTAGCAAGTCATTATAGCAAAGTCAGATTTCAACACTATCGAGATCAAAAAATACCACAAGAGTTCCAGTCAAGCTAAATCGCCGCTAAAGGAATGAATGGGCCGTTATACGACCCTGAATAAGAAAAGCAAGCAGATATTCCATGCTTCACTGTGAAGGCCGCCGTTCATAAGCCTGTCTTTCCTCTTCAATCATATCAATCGCATCCATGAGGACACCATCTACTATCGCCGCGTACACAGCCATCCTCGACCGTCCACCCTCCTGTCCAGCCCCGTAGCCCATATCGATAAGAGCAGAAACACATCGTTCGATTGCCGCATTATCAGTTTCGGGAACACTGGCATCAAGTGTATCAGAGGGTCCGGCCCTCGTCGTGACTTCTGCCGTGGTATCTTCCACCGGGAAGCTTCCGGGAATTTGTTCGTGTGAAGATGCAGCACTCCGTTCTCGCCTAGATAGACGGGCCCATGTGTCTGTTTCCGCGGGACCATGTGATCTATCCCCAGGACGACGCATACTTGAAGAATGCTTGGGGGGATTATGACGGCCGATCTCCGCAGCTTGCAAATCATTTGATTTATGAGTTGTGTGCTCAGTCGCTCGGCGCTTCAGCTTGGGCGCATGCTGGGGGAATCGAGACCCACGCCTGGGCGCATAGCCTCGTTGGAAGTGGAAGCAGGTTGAGAGTGACCAATTCCCTTCGGTGTAGGATGCACGGGTAAAATGTGAGTTGAGACTCCCTCGCAGTGTTCTGAATTTGGCGATTGACCATCCAAAGCACCAGTTATAGGTTCTGTTTCACGTGGTTCCTGCCGATTTGCAAGAAGCTGTGCCTCCCATTGAGACACGGGTGGGAAAGGAGACTCCGTGTTCGAAAGCGAGGAAACACCCCGACCGCCTAATGAATCGTTATGCTGTGTGCTCGTCTCGGGCAAAAGCGAAGGAAAACGTGCGCTGAATGCAGGGTCGTCGCTTGGAGAGTCAAGTAGTGCGGATGATCCTGTCTGGGGTGGAGCAGAATCAATGTTTTGCGTGAGGTTTACGAAACCGACAGATTTTCTGCGGTTCTCCGTTTTACCAGGCTGAGACGAGCTCATTCGTGACTTGACAGCAAGCGGGGACGCAGAGGGTCCCAATACGGTCTTTTTCGCTCAGAGCGAGAATTTTTAACATTGCTCATTCCAGACTGAAAGTTTTTGGCCTGAGTATCGCGTACGGTTGTAGCGGCATTGGGTGGAACCTGCGCCGGACGCACACTTTCGATTGCGGGATGATACATAGGCTCCAGGTTTATCGAATGACCGTCAATGACAGCACCTTGCAATGCCTCAATTGCAGCAAAAGCCGGATAGTCCGAGGGAAAATTAACGTAGCCGAAGCCTGCATGTCTTCCTGATGTGGTATCTAGCGGGAGATCCACCTTGACGAGGAATCCCTTGGCAGCGAACACATCCTGTATCATCTTGTTGGTAACCTTGAAACCAACGTTCCCAATGAACAAGGACTTAGTTGCTAATTTGTTTCTTGATTCTCCAGGCTGCACTTGTGATGTCCGTCTAGCATCCAACGGTGGATTGAACACAGCAGGAGGCGGAGGCGGAGGCGCAGGCGGCCAGTAATTCAGATTCGGCAACGATGCCGACGGTAGAGGAGGACAGGGAGGCGGGGGTACGTTATAAGTTTGGAACGGATTCCACATTGGAGCAGGCCATGAGGGAGGTGCCCAATGATTTGGGTGGGTGGGAATAGATTGACGACCATGGTGACTTTGGATGGGGGGTACTCCTGCTTGTGCAGTATGAGAGAGGTTCGATTGGCCTGGGCCTGCTGTTGATTTCTCGTTCGTGGCTTTGCTTGAATGATGTCCATCTGGGTTTTGGGAATACATAGTGCCCGTAGCCGCAGAGCCATTGCCTGCAGTAGTGTTCAAGAACGACGCTGACGGTCCAGGGGTTGGCACCTCGGAAGTCGAGGTCGACGTAGAGGCTGTTGATGTAGCGCGGCCAAACTCGCTTTCGAATGCGGCAAACAATGTTCTTCCGACCTCGTTGAGTTCGGAGGCCATCGTACGAAAACCATCCGCGGCATTCTCGGCGACAGGCCTTCCTGCTTGGAACGCATCTTCTGCCATTTGCCTTCCGCCATCTGGAATATTATTAAATGCAGTTCTTAGGTGAGCCTCAACAGTGGCAAGTAGTGTTCGCAGTGAAGATTCCACGTTCTCAGGCAGAGATCTTTGTGCAGCCTCAATCTGTCTCTGAGCATTCTGTAGCTGTCGCTGTAGCTCAGGAATTTTTGACCTCCATTCAGATTGTACCATAGTAGCGCCGTTGATCAGCTGGTCTAGAACCTGTCCCGCTAGAACCTCAACGGGATGAAGGGATCGCCCTGAGTTTGTGTTGGCTGATGTTTCACTAGTCGGTGGCGCATCAGGTTGAGGTACTCTACTCTCCGGGGACCCGGCAGTATTCATCATCCCCGCTAGCTCGGCCTCAAAGGCTTCCATCAAAGGCCGAGGTTGATGCCCAGAGATAGGTGGCGAGCTTGTGATATGAGAAACTGGCACCTCATGTTGCTCTTCGAGAACAATAGCCTCCGAAGTAGCTTGCGTGTCTTTCTTCTCACCAGCCGTGCCTTGTTTTGAAGCGTTGCCTTCAAATCGCTTCCACAACTCGGTCACGGAGTTGGATCGACGAATGTCAAATATGTGCATCGGACTGATGTCATTGGGAGAAAGCTGGACAGATTCAATCTGTGCGTTAAGGTCTAGGGGCTCCTCAAGGCGCTGAGAGAGCTCGAGAGCTGATCCAACCTGAGGAAATGGGTAAGATTTTGACCTCAGCATGATAGATCGCGGACTGTTGTGAACTTACGGTGATTGTTTCGTCATCATCATCGTCATCAATATAAGTTAGCCTTGCGCGGGGATGGTTTGACGCTAAATCATCGTAATCTGTAGCAGAAATCTGGACCACCCCCGAAGAAGTACGAGAATCGGCAGGTTGCTCGGGTTGGTGCTGAGCGGGTACCCGAAGGTTTCTGATTTGAAAGGGCTTCAACATGGAGAATATGCACTTTGAGCCCTGTAGATTAGGACCACGAACTGATAGGGCGTTACAGAATCGAAAGCAAAGAAGGATAAATTAGAGTAAAGCTGGTTAGGATATGAACTGGTTTGGAATTATGATGCCTTTGGGGCTAGTTTGAAGATTTGGGGGGGGGATTGTATAAACGGGGGAAAACGATCACGAGATTCATATGTTGCTGCCTGTGGCAACACTTTCAACTTTTTCAAGTCTGAATCTTCCAGATGCAAGGATAAGAATCCCAAAAATCAAGGATTCCAAGTGAAAAAAAAATACATGGGAGTTTCAGGCAACAGGATAAGAGCAAGCATGATGAAGCTCTCCGGAGAATCCCCGCCCCGATCACATGATATCAGGTCCTGGAATTTTAGGCGTCAACTCTGAAGGTTCTTGACATTGAATTCAATAGGCAATGAATAATAATTGAGAATAATGTCCACATAACATCCCCAAATGCCTGCGCGATCGTATACTCTCTCTTCATCTATCAGCAGCTCTAATATCTACGATAATCCCAATGGCTGGTCTATTGGAGACGGTACATCGCATGAACGCCCCCGAAACCTAACATTCCGACAACTTCGATATCACGTCGCGCCGACCGAATCTCCATAGAAATCAATGGCGACCTCGAAGTCTGCGCCATTGCAGACTCCAGCAGATCGCAATGTGAACAACGTCGTATTGGGGGATCTCTTGTTCAAGCCATGGAACCAATCCATCTACCCCGAAGATCTCGTCGCCAAAGACGCCGATCGACTCTACGTCTGTCGTTGGTGCTTTCGATATTCATGCGACGGTGATCTGTTTGAACAACATAAACGCGCCTGCGAGCATCGCATAACCCCACCAGGCACGAAAGTCTACGACCATGGCGGGTATGCAGTGTGGGAGGTTGATGGGCAGAACCACAAACTTTTCGGGCAGAATCTGTCCCTTTTCGCCAAGCTCTTCCTCGACCACAAGACAGTGTTTTTTGATGTCGCAACCTTCCTGTACTACATTCTCACTTTCACCGACCCGGACGACTCCGGTAGCTACTACGTGCTCGGTTTCTTCTCAAAAGAGAAACTCTCCTGGGACGCGAACAATCTTGCCTGTATCCTGATATTCCCGCCTTATCAACACAAACAGCTCGGGAAGCTGTTGATGGGGGTCAGCTATAAGCTCAGCGGATGGGACTCCAACGGGGGGTGCATTGGTGGACCAGAGAAGCCACTCAGTGAGCTGGGCCATAAAAGCTATGTCCGTTTTTGGGCCGAACGGATTGCCCGATTCTTGCTCCGTGGCAACCCTAGCGGCAGCTTCAGTGAAACCGACCAACAGAAGCCCAGCTCAACCCCTAAAGGTTCCCGCAAGAGACCCTTGCGCGAGACCATTACCGTTGAAGAACTTGGCCTGGGAACTGGTATGTTGACCGAGGATGTCATCACTGCACTCAAGAGCATGGGGCTGTTTGAACCTCAGGCCACCCCCAAAAAACGTAAATCTACCCGTACAGCCGTGGAGGAAAATACCGCCCCACGAGGTCAGATGGTTACCATCTGCAAATCTGATGTGTGGGAGTGGGCTCAAGCACACCATCTCTCCCTGGATGACCCAGTCAAGGAAGAAGGCTTTGCGGGACTCTGGCCCCCAGATATTGTGTCCGACGGGAGTGGCCAAAGTGTTGCCTCAGACGAAGACTGAGTCGACCAACGAGACAGCTTCCAATTCTATGTACGATAGCGCGGATTACAGTATTTTCATCTAACGACGACAATGAGAAGCAACGTGAAGTTTGTGTATTTTTTAATAGATTGGTTCTTGCCCCCCAATTCTGTGAGGAATCAAGTCTTTAGCCCTTTTAAACTTTACATGAACCGCCTGATTTCGTAACTGTGAAAGTGCATTACTCTTCCTGACCACCGGGGCCACCGGCACCGGATTTGCTCATCTGCCGAGCCTTCAGTAGCTCATCACACAGAAGGAGGTTAGATGCGATGCCTGTGCTGGAAGCGATGCAGTTGCGGAGGACACGGAATGAATCGAAGACACCCTCTTGGACAGGATCCATGGGTTCGCCAGTGACCAAATCCAAACCAACAACGTTACCATCAGTTGCCTCATCGTGAAGAGCAGCCAGAGAATCCTGGATATCGTGGCCTGAGTTGGCAGCAAGAGTTTTAGGAATGATCAAAAGGGCATCAGCGAACGCACCAACACCCCACTTGGCCTTACCCTTGACGGTCTTGGTGAAGCCCTGGGACTGCAGGTGTGCGGCACATGCGACTTGGAATGCACCAGCTCCGGGAATGACACAGCCATCGACAATGGTGTTGTAGACAGAGCGCAAACCATCACGAACGGCATCCTTAACCTGGGTGATGGTGTGCCCATTAGGACCCTTAATGAGGATGGTCACAGACTTAGGATCCTTGACCTCTTCAACAAAAGTGAATTTCTCCTCGCCAAGCTGATGCTCGTAGACCAGACCAGCCCATCCAAGAACCTCTGGAGACAAATCCTCAACACTGTTCTGAGCGGTTCCACCACAAACAAGCTGCAGACGCTCCATGTTTCTGCGCTTGGCTCTTCGCAAAGCGAAAATGCCATTCTTGACCAGAACATCCAGACTGAGGGGATCGATACCCTTTTGGTTGATGATGACGAATCCCTTATTGGGATCGTTTCCACAAACCTCCTTCTTGAGGTCCACGATCTTCTGCAGCTTCGCATCCACAAACTTGCGCTCACTCTCAACTAGCTTATCTCTCTGCTCAGCGTTAGAGTAGTAGAACCCGGAGTTAATTTCGGACTTCTCGTACTCCAGACTGACGTTCAATGTCAGAATGAAAGCGTTCTCAACCCGCTTGGGCATGTCGGGGTGTCTGGCACCGTGGTCCAAGGCAAGACCACGAATAAGCTGGGTATCGGATGAGGATCGGTGTTGCATCGTCATAATTTCTACCATGTGCAAATCGGGCTTCTCGGGGGCTCTGTGGATGGCGAGCACGGCATCGACGATGTCGGGGGTAAGCTTCTCAGCGAGAGCACCGTTAAGCTTGGTGGAGAGGGAAGTACGGGCGACGGAGAGCAACAGCTCTCGGTCAATGGAACGCTCGAGCTTGAAGTTTTCAAGGAACTGTAGGTGATGTGTTAGCTCCATGTCGAGATCCGACTTTCAATCTCCATTACATACTTTCAAGGCCTCAGTCTTGGCAATTTCGTAGCCATCAGTGATGACACGAGGGTGCAGACCCTCGGAGATGTGACGCTCCGCTTGCTTCAAAAGCTCTCCCACCAGCAAAACGACAGATGTTGTTCCATCACCGGTAATATCATCTTGTGCCGTCGCAGCGCGAGCGATCATAACCTTTCCATTCTGTCAGCAACATGTGGGAAGCTCACGAGGCAATCCAATCTTACCGCCGTGGGGTTTTGAATTTGCTGTTGATTGTTAGCTTAGAAGCTCGAGGCCCTGGGATTCTGGGGGCAGAACGAACCATCTCCCGCAACAAAACATTTCCATCCTTGGTCAATTTGATCTATCATAGCAAGCCTGTATCAGAAAAGGGATCGTTCGTGCCGCTCGAGAGGAATTGGAGATTGCATACTGCGCCTGCACCATCAACCAGCCTAAGTTTTGTCAGCTCCATTGCCTTTGTATGTGGGGTGTATTCGTAGGAAACTCACATCTTGAGAGTTCCCGAAGGACCCAAATTGGACTTGAGAACATCCTGAAGACCTTCACCGGCACCGATGTTCACCTTCAAGGCCTCTCCTCTCCGCTACGTGAGATGTTAGTGTGCGGGCATATCATTGAGGGGCCATCTGGGAATATTTTCCATACCCTCGACTCCGCCTTCGGGTTAAGTAGTTGAGTTGCAGACATCTCCCAGGTAATGAATGGCAGGGTATCACGTCCAATAACTCAAACAATATTAAATTAAAGGGATGGTAGAGCGCTTGTTCCACGTTAGGTCCGCGGCCAAAAAGCCCACATTCGAGCATGCTCTATTATCACGTGACTATATCAGCGGAGCGGGTAAACATACGCTCCGAGACTGACCGTCATTACCTCCGGTTCGGTGCCTTAGGATTCGCACTAGCGGCGAGAAAAAAAAATTGTCCATTTCCAGCCGTCGCCAACCTCACCAGCAATCTATCGAATTGAACTTTTCGAGGTTTTCTGGTCGGTGTTGCAAGAGTTTATTATTATTTTGCGATTGACCTTGTATTGGTCCTACCACGATGGCCGATTTCCTACTTTTCGAGGGCCCTATGGGTTACTCGCTTTTCAAGGTCGCCCATCAGGGCGACTCTGTCGGCAATGCCTTGAAGGAAGTCCAGGAGGGTGTCAATGACCTTGCCAAATTCGGAAAGATGGTCGAACTTTCCAGTTTCCTACCCTTCGAGTACGGTTTATCTGTCTATATGAAAATGTTTTCATAGCCCACTAACAATTTTTAGGAACAACAAGCAGGCTCTTGGAGAAATTAATGACATCTCCGAAGGTGTCGCATCCGATACTCTCGTTTCGTTCCTTGAATTGAACCTCCCCAAGCCGAACAAGAAGAAGAAGGTGATCCTGGGTCTTGCCGACAAGGCTCTGGCAGGAAGCATCAAGTCTGCTTTCTCATTCGTCGACTGTGAGACTGGTGATACCAGCGAGGTCGTTCAGGACCTTCTCCGTGGTATTCGTCTCCACGCTGGCAAGCTTCTCAAGCAGCTGCGCGATGGTGATATGGACACTGCCCAGCTCGGTCTCGGTCACGCTTACTCCCGCGCTAAGGTAAAGTTCTCCGTCCAGCGTGACGACAACCACATCATCCAGGCTATCGCCATTCTGGACCAGCTCGACAAGGCTATCAATACCTTCTCCATGCGAGTTCGCGAATGGTACTCCTGGCACTTCCCCGAGCTCGTCAAGATTGTCTCCGACAACCAGCGCTACGCCGAGCTCGCCCTTTTCATTAAGGACAAGCAGGCCCTGACCAACGAAAGCCTGCACGACATTGCCGCCCTTGTTGAAGATGACGAGGCTGTTGCCCAGAGCATTATCGATGCTGCTAAGACCAGTATGGGCCAAGAGATCTCTGAGGCCGACATGGAGAACGTTGTCGCTTTCGCCGAGCGCGTTGTCAAGCTCGCCAAGTACCGCAAGTCTCTCTACGCTTACCTTGTTGCCAAGATGAGCGTCGTCGCACCTAACCTTGCCGCCCTGATCGGCGAAGTCGTCGGCGCCCGTCTGATCTCCCACGCCGGTAGCTTGACCAACCTCTCCAAGTACCCCGCCTCTACCGTTCAAATTCTTGGTGCTGAGAAGGCTCTCTTCCGTGCCTTGAAGACCAAGGGAAACACCCCCAAGTACGGTCTGCTGTACCACTCTTCCTTCATCGGCCGCGCTGGCCCCAAGAACAAGGGCAGAATCTCCCGTTTCCTTGCCAACAAGTGCTCCATTGCTTCCCGCATTGATAACTTCTCCGAGGCCCCTAACACCAAGTTCGGTGAGGCCCTGAAGAGCCAGGTTGAGGAGCGCTTGGAATTCTACACCTCTGGCGCTGCCCCTACCAAGAATGAGGTCGCCATGGTACGTTGAGCTTTAGTTATCCTATTGAATGACCAAACATGCTAATCATTTACAGAAAAATGCCATGGACGCCGTCCTGGCTGACCTTGATGTCGATGCCGACCAGAGCGATGCTGATATGGAGGACGCCGAAGTTGCCGAGGCTAAGGTGGAGAAGAAGGAGAAAAAGGAGAAGAAAGAAAAGAAGGAGAAGAAGGAAAAGAAAGAGAAGAGAAAGTCCGTTGGTGGTGAGGGCGAGTCAGACAAGAAGAAGAAGCGCAAGCACGACACGGATGCCGAGCCCTCCAAGAAGAAGCAAAAGGCCTAGATATGCAATTTGTTTGGACTTGGGAGTCTTTGTCATGGCGTTAGGTTTTGCTTTTGTCTTGATGACTTGATTGGTACGGCTTGCAGGTATTTGTAAATTATTACCAGGCCTTTTGCCTCAGCAGCTTTGACTATCGCTGCTCTGATATTTTTCAATTAAGTGTTTTAAGTTGTTCATGTGGCACTAGATCTGGAGTAAGGAGATTCAAAGAAACCTATTTTTATTCCTTGCAGAACAGAATCAAAAGGAATCCCTTGATGCATGCGCGGCCTATTAAGTGGCGATCATGTTGTACCCCACGTCTGATTCAATGCCGAATGTCCCCAAGAAACCCCTCTCAGCCCTGACCTCCGCGCTGTGCGAGCTCTCCAGAATGCATACCTTCGTTTCTTGAGAGCTTGGTGGTGGATACCCTAATCATCTGCAAATGAGATCCATCGGGTTGCTCAGTGACGTCCCCACTACGTCCGTTTTCAGTATGATGCCGATAGGCTTACCTTCATCTTTCTCTCCCAAGCGCAAACGAGAGCCCTCAGAGTCAGACTTCTATAGCCCCTCAGCCTCACCCACATCGATAGCCTCCATTGACAGTTTTCCAGAGGTTCCACTTCGGGACGAGGACGAGCTGGAAAGCTACAGTCCTCGCGCTGCAGTGGCTGGACGATTTGGGGAGTTAGCCATCTGCGGGGACCTTCTTTTGGACTCTGGAACTTTGACTGGCAACTCTAAGCGAGTATCTCTGGCTCCACTGGCACAAGCATGCGAGCCTGACAGCCACGAGCTCAAGAATATGCCTGAAGCCCTACCGGCCACTAGCAGCGAACCCGGTGACCGCCAAGCTCTGCGATTCGAGCCGCCTGCAACACAGGATCCGACCTCCTTGCCGACCTCCTCGCCCATTTCTCCCTCAAAGAGGAAGTCTGCAACTTTCTCCCGCAAACAGTTGAACCCGTCATCGCCATCTAAACGCAAGCAACGTCTTTCCCCTCCTCTTGCAGGCACTCCGTCTGAAGAAGACCCGCTTGTATGGCATGACTCGGAAATAACAGGCCACAACCCATCCGACCCGACGGATGATGGGTACGGAATCAATGGTATAGGCTTCAAGCCCACTGCCTCAATTGCGTGGGAAAGATCACAAAAGCGACGAAAGCAAGTGGCAGAATGGAAGAATCGCGAAGCCCGGGAAGCTCGTGAAAGACGACGCGAAAGGAGAAGGGATGGTGCTGAGCTAGACAAATTGCATGGCATAGATAAAGGTGCCATTCAGAAGCGTGTAAAATTCAATTTCTAGCGGAGCTGGCATAGCTGCGCAACATGCAGCCAAATTTTGGATATCTTCATTTCGGCGTTTTTGTCTTGGAAGGGCAGGCATACGGGCGGTTTTCTTCTTTACTTTCTCTCGGACAAATGGGAGGGTGCAGCGATGATTAGGCGGACAATATGAACTTTGCAGAGAGCTATGATACACTGAGATGACTTATGACATGGCGTCGATCACCACTTGATCCATTGATCAGAATACATATACAGTTTTCGGAACCCCTCATAAACTCCATGACTCCTTTTCATGAACCAAGAGCACTACCAGAACTTGTAGTTGGCGGGATTGGTCCAACTTTTGCTCTTCCTTTCCTGCTCAGCAAGACGCGCGCGCAATGCCGCTTCCTCCTCTGCCGTATCCTTCTCACGTTGTTTCTTGGCCTTCAATTGATTCATCAGATCAAGCGCTTCTGCCATGCCACTCAATTCGTTATTTCGTCGCCAGCGGCAGTATTCATATGAGGCTAATGAAGTGATCGCAAACATGCCAACAGCCCAGTTTCCTGCAGACCATAGATAGTACCGTCCTGCATGCACATATTAGACTATGATTCCAGTGTTCCAATGTTGAAGAGTGCAGCTATACCTTTAACCAAGCCTCGTAGACCACCAACTCCAAATCCAACACCAATACCAGTCAACAAGGATTCCCGAGCACACGGTCTTTTGTGAAGGGTGGTCATTTCGGAGACCGGAAATGTTCCAATAATCTCGGAGTATGAGACATCCTTAGGGTTCTTGCCTCGGGGCTTATAGGTTGCTTTGGCGAGCGCATTTGCGGGTTCCTCGGGGTTTCCAAAGGCATCCCATAGCTTTCCAGTTTGTGACTGAGATGGACTGTATTTTGGTTTCTGCGAATCGGCCTGATCATTGGGGAATTGTGTATTGTTACCAGTCTCTGGAAGAGAGCTGGGGTCTCGTGAGTCTTCCGACATCGTTGTGTAGAGTAAATTGCTGCTACACTTCCACTTGCTGTCTTCATCACTATTGAAGAAGAGCACCAATATCGGATGAATAGATAATCCGGGATTCTAAAATGGATAGTTATTCCGGAAGGCTGACTAACAATTTCAACGCGCGTGGGTGGTACGCGAACGCGTCGAGACTATCGAAATCGATTTGATTATAGCAGATTATAGGCCACCTAGAGGCACAATTAGCCCCAAAACCAGATCATTATCTTTGCGCCCAACTAAACTTTCTTCTGTTTTTCTTTGTTTGATCTGAAATACACCAAGTGCGCATTTTTCATGTTCTACACTGGCCACTGGTCCCGTCCTTTGAAAGAGGTACTTTAACAAGTCCATCTGGGCGCAGCGTCGCAATGCCTTCCCGAAAGCCCAGCAAGTATGGAAACAAGTTCAGGTCTGGTGCTGCATCCTCGAATCCTCGGCGCTCCAAAACGGTCCAATTTAACTCCTTACGCTCGACCGAGGCAACCTCCCAAGATGAGAAATTCGAGGCCATTCGGTTGGCCAACAGCATCGACGAGACTCTAGGCTTCCCGCGGTTTGAGTCCGGCGAGACAAGGGCCGGTTGGTTGGTCAACATGCACAGCACATTGATTGAGGACCCGGACGTGCCTGGTGGTCGTGCCGGCGTGGATTATTACTTTCTGCAGGACGACGGAGGAAGTTTCAAGGCTACCGTGGAATACGATCCTTATTTTTTGATTTCGGTCAAGAAAGGCTATGAGATGGAGGTAGAAGAGTGGTGTCGCCGAACCTTTGAGGGCATGATCAAAAAATTCAAGCGACTTGAGAAAGAAGATCTCAACCTCCCAAATCACCTCCTCGGCTACCGGAAGACCTACATCAAGCTCAGCTTCGCCAACGTGAGCAACCTTTTAGAGGTTAGGAAGACTCTCCTTCCTCTCGCAGAGAAGAACAAGAAGAATGAGAGTGCGATGGACGCATATGTTGAGATGACCAGGTTTGTTTTGTGTTACATGATTCGATCTGAATATGGGCTAATGCATGGCTCCCATAGTGCGACTGCTGGTATCGACCTTTTTGATGACGAAATAATTAATGAGCAACGACCTAATGGCAACCTACAAGCGAGTGATTTTATTGTTGATATTCGAGAATACGACGTGCCATACCATGTCCGGGTCTGCATTGATAAAGGTCAGTATTTTCAGTGTCTCCTGGCGAGGCCTCATAGCTGACGCATCGCAGACATTCGGATTGGAAAATGGTACAATGTTCAGGCAGACCATGGCGTAATATCGCTCACTTGCTTGGAGGATCGACTTCAGCGTGCCGATCCTGTCGTTCTCGCTTTTGATATCGAGTGTACGAAGTTACCGCTGAAATTTCCCGACGCCACGATGGATCAAATTATGATGATTTCATACATGATTGATGGGCAAGGGTTCCTAATTACCAACAGAGAGATCGTGTCAGAAGACATTCACGATTTTGAGTACACTCCCAAACCAGAGTACAACGGACCTTTCATTATCTTCAATGAACCCAATGAAAGAGCAGTCCTTGAGCGATTTTTCGAGCACGTCAAAATCTCGAAGCCTACCGTCATTGCGACATACAACGGTGACTTCTTCGATTGGCCGTTTGTGGAAACAAGAGCCAGCATTTTGGGACTCGACATGTACATGGAGATCGGTTTCCGGAAAAACAGCGAGGACATTTACCAAGCTGACAACTGTGTGCATATGGATTGTTTCTCCTGGGTCAGCCGCGACAGTTACCTCCCTCAAGGAAGTCGTGGCTTGAAAGCCGTGACTGTTGCAAAGCTTGGTTACGACCCTGATGAACTCGACCCAGAGCTTATGACACCGTATGCGAGTGAAAGGCCGCAGACATTAGCCGAATACTCGGTTTCCGATGCTGTTGCAACCTATTACCTATACATGAAATATGTCCACCCATTCATCTTCTCGCTCTGCACAATTATCCCCCTCAACGCTGACGAAACGTTGCGGAAGGGAACTGGAACTTTGTGTGAGATGCTTCTCATGGTTCAAGCCTACCAGCATGAGATTGTCTTGCCCAACAAACACAAGAATCCTCCAGAAGCCTTTTATGAAGGTCATCTCCTTGAGTCGGAGACCTACGTTGGCGGCCATGTTGAAAGTATTGAAGCTGGTGTCTTCCGAAGTGATATCCCTACACATTTCAGCGTTGATCCTACTGCAATTGATGAACTTCTCAAGGATCTCGATCATGCCCTCAAGTTCAGTATTGAGGTTGAAGAGAAGAAATCCATGGATGATGTCGTGAACTATGATGAGGTCAGGGCACAAATCGTGGAGCGTTTGCTTGATCTCAAGAACAATCCAGTCCGGAACGAGGTGCCTTACATTTACCACTTAGATGTCGCCTCCATGTATCCCAACATCATGATCACAAACCGATTGCAACCGGACTCGTTGATTAATGAGTCAAATTGTGCCGCCTGCGACTTCAACCGACCTGGAAAAACCTGTGATAGACGCATGCCTTGGGCATGGCGAGGTGAATTCTTGCCTGCCAAACGTGATGAATACAACATGATCCGACGTGCCACAGCAAACGAACGTTTCCCAGGCAGGTACCCAAAGTCCCCAATGAGGTCTTTCGGTGAATTGAGCATTGAGGAGCAAGCTGGAGTGGTCAAGAAACGGCTACAGGATTACAGCAAGAAGATTTATCACAAGATTCACGACAGCAAGACGATGGAGCGGGAGGCTATCATTTGCCAAAGAGAAAATCCCTTCTATGTCGACACTGTGAGAGACTTCCGTGACCGACGATACGATTTCAAGGGCAAGCAAAAATCTTGGAAGAACAAAGCCGACGGTTTGCAGTCATCGGGCGGCTCGGCTGCTGAAATTGAGGAGGCAAAGAAGATGATTATTCTGTACGATTCCCTTCAACTTGCACACAAGGTCATTCTCAACAGTTTCTACGGATATGTGATGCGAAAGGGTTCTCGGTGGTATTCCATGGAAATGGCCGGTGTCACTTGTCTGACAGGCGCTCACATCATTCAGATGGCGAGAGAACTTGTTGAACGTATCGGTCGTCCCCTAGAATTAGATACCGACGGTATCTGGTGTATGCTTCCAGGAGGATTCCCTGATAATTTCTCCTTCACTCTGAAGAACGGGAAGAAGCTGGGTATCTCATACCCTTGTGTCATGCTTAACCACCTCGTGCACGCAAGGTACACCAACCACCAATACCAGGCGCTTGTCGATCCGAAAACCTTCAAGTACGAAACTCACAGCGAAAATTCCATCTTCTTTGAAGTAGATGGACCGTACAGGGCAATGATTTTGCCAACGTCGAAGGAGGAAGACAAGAACCTGAAGAAACGATATGCAGTTTTCAATCACGATGGCTCCCTAGCTGAACTCAAGGGATTTGAAGTCAAGCGAAGAGGAGAGCTGAAGTTGATCAAGATTTTCCAGACGCAGCTCTTTAAATTCTTCCTCGAGGGCTCTAATCTTGCCGAGACCTACGCCGCTGTGGCCCGAGTTGCAGACCGGTGGTTGGACGTTCTATACGAACACGGAACGACCTTAGCTGATGAAGAGTTAGTCGATCTCATTTCGGAAAATCGAAGCATGTCAAAAACCCTGGAAGAGTACGGTTCTCAAAAGTCCACATCCATCACGACAGCAAAGCGCCTGGCTGAGTTCTTGGGTGAACAGATGATCAAGGACAAAGGCCTTAACTGCAAATACATCATTTCATCACGCCCACGGAACACACCTGTCACTGAAAGAGCCATTCCTGTGGCTATATTTTCAGCTGAAGAGAACATCAAGCGATTCTTCTTGCGCAAATGGCTAAAAGAAGACCCCGGCGATATGGATCCCCGAACCGTGATCGATTGGGACTATTACCTAGAGCGTTTGGGGTCTGTAATCCAGAAGTTGATTACCATTCCAGCTGCGCTTCAGAAGCTTCCAAACCCAGTGCCCCGGGTTGCCCACCCCGATTGGTTGCAACGTCGGATCAACACGAAGGAAGACAGGTTCAAGCAAAAAAAGATGACTGATCTATTCACCAAATCCGAAAAGACGCCCCTTTCGTCGACAAATGCCAATATCCTAGATCATCGGGTTCAGCACGCTGGCGACCTAGATGAAGCAATTGCAGGCTCAACTCAAAAATCAAAATCGCCCAACAACAAGGCTTCCCAGAAGAGAAAGCATCCAGAAAATGCTCCAAAGACAGCTCTTGATCCCTTTGCTAGCCTGCCAGCAGTTATGCCATCTATGTCAGAGAACTACGAAGGGTTCCTTAAGTATCAGAAACAAAAATGGAAGATCCAAAAGCAAGCACGACTTCGCCGTCGTCAACTGTTTGGCGAACGAACCAACGTTGCCTCAGATTCCTTGAGTAGCTTCTTCCGCAATCAAGCTCAAATGCTGTATATCAGCACATGGCAGGTCCTGCAGCTTTGCGAGACGGGCATTCCGGGAGTTGTGCGAGCTTTTGTACTGATTGACCAAAAGATCCATGCTCTCAGCCTTAGAGTTCCACGGCAATTCTTCTTGAACTTGAAACGGGACTCTTTGCCGGACGTTGACGTGCCAGACTGTGAAGTCGAGAAGGTCAACCATACCCTACCCAACGGCCATCCCTCGGTTCACTTGTTCAAGCTGTCTTTGTCGGAAGATAAATATCTAGAAGAAGCCGACAAGATGGATATTCTCTTCCAACACCCTAGCGTTGAGGGTGTTTACGAAGGAAACATCCCGCTAAGCACTCGAGCGGTGCTCAAGCTAGGAAGCCATTGTACCTTCGATGAAGAGCAACGTGGTGTTCTTGGTGACGGCTTGGACAAGGGCTTCGACCTCTCAACATTACTTCACACATCTTCCGAGCAGCCCTATCTGATGGACTCGTCATTGGTGTTCCACTATTTATACCACATTGTCTCTGGAGATAGGCAGATCTTCGCAATATTTTCGACAGCCAAGAATGAGGCGCATATCATTGTTCTCAACCGCTCAAGAGATGTCCAGGGTCTTCCCAACGTCGATAAAATCTACACCGACCTCCTCACACGTAAGATGCAAGCCGCATCGGGTGACGACTCGCAGCATGCGTTCGAATACCAGGATAAGATTCATTTCAAAACTACCCAGGTGATGACGCGAAGGAAGGCTCACCTTGAGGTTGGTGATTTGATCAGAAAGATTCGAAATGATGAGAGTCAGCCTGCCGTTCTGGTCATTCAATCTCAACAAAAAGACCGCCTGTGTCACGACATTCCGATCTTGAAGGAGTACCCAGTATTATCCGTGAAGCCCGAAGCATCGGACATGGAACTTCCCCCACTGGGCTGGCAGGCATTCATTGCAAGACGTCTAGTCACACGCTATCTATACTTGTCTTCTTGGATTCAGCACTTGACCATGCTCGCTCGGTTCGGTGATGTTCCGCTTTGCAATCTGGAAAGTGAAGATCCTCGATACCTTATTGACATTTCGTACGCTAGACGGCTTCAACAAAACAACGTTGTGCTCTGGTGGTCATCCGGGCCGCGTCCTGATCACGCGGGCTATGAAAGGGATGACATCCTTGGTGCCTTGGACAAGGTCAACATGCCATCTGTCAATGTACCAGGTGCTTACTCCACAGTGTGCATTGAACTCGAGGTTCGCAATTTGTCGATTAACACGATTCTGACATCTTCTATCATCAATGAAATGGAAGGCAATGATACGCTCCTGGCTTCTGGGGATGGGGAAGATACCGGTGTTTTCTATTCAGAGAAAGCATTTGCCTCTGCCGGTGTTGTCGTTCTCCGAGAGATGGTAAAACACTGGTGGACAGAAGCCTGTTCAGGGAACAACATGGCCGACATCATGGTCCAGCATCTGATCCGTTGGGTGGAAAGCCCTGTTTCCTGTCTGTATGACCGGTCTCTGCACAACTACGTGCGACTACTGTCACGGAAGTCATTCCAAAGATTGATGGCAGAGTTCAGACGTGTTGGCTCGCACGTCATCTTTGCCAGCCCTACACGCCTCCTTCTCCAAACGACCAAGACCGAGGTTGGCAACGCCTACGCCTACAGCCAGTATGTCCTCAAGTCAATTCGCGCCAATCCTTCATTCCACTTTATCGATCTCGAGATCAAGGAGTACTGGGACTATCTTGTTTGGTATGATGAATACAACTACGGAGGCAAGGGTTGTCGAGAGGTCACCGAGGCCGACGAGCAGGATCTTGAAACAGCGATGCACTGGCAGCTCAGCCGGTTCCTGCCAATGCCCATGCAGACTATCTTCCATGATTGGATTGTTGAGTATATCGAGCTGATGCACGGCTTGAAACGGCCGGAACTCCAAGACGGGGATCTGTCTTCAACGCCTCGGCCAACACAAATTCCCATCGGACGGACCAACGAAGAAGACGATAACGAAATAACTGCCATTCTCTCGGACCGATTCTCAAAACCATTGAAGAAGCAGATCTCGGGATTGATCCGCAGACAACGCGACGAGATGCTTCATCCTGAGCTTGCATCTGACTATGCCTTCCCCGTTTTGCCAGGAGTCCTAGTCGGTCCCAAGGACAATCGCAACCCATCTCTGGAGTTGACGAAACTGCTGATGCAGGTTCTGAGTCTGTCCAAGACAACAACCCTGGAATCTCGGTTGCTGCGGCGCGAACTTCTTGCCCTTTTCGAGGTCCGAGAATTCAGCAAGGAGGGCCGATTCGAGAACCCTAGTGCTAGCTTGAAGCTCCCGGAGATGTCCTGCAACTCCTGCTGTCTTATTCGAGATCTGGATCTTTGCCGTGATGAAGATGTGCTGCCTGATCCCAGCTTAGAGGCCAGCAAATCTACCCAGCCCTGGCGATGCCCCTTCTGTCACGCCGAGTACGACCGATTGGCGACTGAAGAATTCCTCATTGGTCAAGTCCATGGCTTTGTTGTTGAATGGCAGACACAGGATATCAAATGTTCAAAGTGCAGTGGTCTTAAAATCAGTGATTTCATGGAGCACTGTTCTTGTAGTGGTGCATGGACCGAAACAGTTGATCGCAAGGAGATCGAGAAGAAACTACAAGTGTTAGAGAGCGTGGCCAAATTCCACAAGCTGCAACTACTGGAGCACGTTGTCGCGGAAGTGCTGGAGCGATTTTGAATGTACCAATTTTCTTTGATTTTTTCTTGATTTTTGCCCTGTTTTTTCTTTGTTTTGCATTGGGCTGGCGTTGAGTGAAATGTACATAGCTTAAATAGCCAGGGCAAAGAAATGCCTCTCCAATAATCACGCTGTCGATATTTTTTATATCCTGGCTTTTAATTCCAATGTTTTGCAAGATTCTATTTTAATAATCTTGGAGTTGAGCTGTTTCATCGGATGTTTCAGCTCTTCCCCCCGCCAACGATTCCCCAGGGATCTTCAACTTCGAACCCCCGCAGTCCCTCGAACGTCAGACCGTTGCGCATACAATAAACCCATAAAATCATCCCTTGTCACCCAACTGTAAGTATTCTCCGTCGTCACACCTTACGTCCTCGCACTCGGCTCCTGTGCCACTTTACAGCAAGACTGACTTTCGATTGCGTAGGTACATAAGAAACAGGCGTATATACCCTCGATTCGAATCCCTCTAGTACCGCGCTCAATCTCTCACACGCGCCTTGAGTCACACAACTCCTCCATCCCCCACGATCTGCGTTGCGCATCCCGCACTTGGTTTTATTCGAAATGGCGGCACAACCCCCGAGCGGCCAGAAGCCGAAGGTTCAGCCGTGCCGATACAAGACCGGAAAGACACTAGGCGCTGGTTCATACTCTGTCGTAAAAGAATGTGTGCACATTGATACCGGTCGCTACTATGCGGCGAAGGTCATCAATAAGCGCCTCATGTCCGGGCGGGAGCATATGGTGCGTGCCGGGAGATCTACAGCTGCGAGACAAGAGCATGACTGACGCCCGAACTATTCAGGTCCGGAATGAGATTGCCGTATTGAAGAAGGTGTCCCTAGGCCACCAGAATATCCTCACGCTGGTCGACTACTTTGAGACTATGAACAACTGTGTGTTTCACCCCACTATAATAACTTCAATCGCACCCCCCCACTGACAGTAATGCTGTTAGTATATCTTGTCACCGATCTCGCCCTAGGCGGGGAACTCTTTGACCGCATTTGTCGCAAAGGCAGCTATTATGAATCCGACGCTGCAGACCTTATGCGCGCAGTGCTCTCTGCCGTGGCCTATCTACATGATCATGGGATCGTGCACCGTGATCTAAAGCCGGAGAACCTACTTTTCCGCACCCCAGAAGACAACGCGGATCTGTTAATTGCCGATTTCGGATTATCGAGGATCATGGACGAGGAGCAGTTCCACGTCCTGACTACGACCTGCGGAACGCCGGGGTACATGGCACCAGAGATCTTCAAAAGAGTGGTCATGGCAAGCCAGTGTAAGTCGCCTCTCAATGCAATTGCTTATCGTTTACTAACAACCCACTCCTATTCAGCGACATCTGGGCCATCGGTGTGATCACCTACTTCCTGCTATGCGGATACACTCCCTTCGACCGGGACTCCAATCTCGAAGAGATGCAAGCAATTCTAGCAGCAGACTACTCCTTCACGCCGGTCGAGTACTGGCGCGGTGTATCACAGGAAGCGCGCAACTTCATCAAGAGCTGTCTAACCGTCAACCCACAGTCACGGATGACAGCCCACGAAGCTCTCCAGCACCCATGGGTCAACCTACCCTACGACAGCGGCAAGGTGGGCTCGGGTGAAGATCTGCTGCCAACGGTCAAGAAGAATTTCAATGCGCGCCGCACGCTTCACCGTGCTATTGACACTGTGCGTGCTATTAACAAGCTCCGCGAGGGCGGTGGCTTCATGATGGACGGCGTTATGAGCGTTGATCCCAAACCTGAGCGTGTCAATGGCGATGAGATCATTGAGGAGCAGCATCATGCTCCTCCGCCTACATCGGCCAATGCCGGTGGGAGTCAGATGCAGATTGATAGTCGTGGTAATGCGCGTGGGCAGACTGAGGAGCAGATCAGGGCCCAGGAGCGGAGAGTTAAGGAAATGGTTGCTGGGTTGTGGAGTCGTACTCCTCGCTAGACTACATGAATATGTGTCCTTTGCTTTTGTCCATGCTGTGTTTTGGTTTCTTCCGTGGGGAGGTTCGGATTCAGATTCGGATTTAGGAGTTCCACTGGCTGCTCCTCTCTAGTCGCGGGCTTTGCCTCTACTTGACTATTTTTCAACGTCTATGTAGACCACAACAATATTATATACAATCTTGGAATGAATGATGTCAGTGTTTATAACCAATGGTTATCCCGAGGCCAGATGAGTGTCGAGTTAAAATTCTTGTTCGCTATCTTAATAGAGCAGATGCCATATCAAATTCTCATCATGGTCGCCCATGGTCTAGTCATTGCCATCCCTCATTAGTGCCCATGCCGAAACGTTGTTCACCGAAAACCAAGGAAAGAAGCAGTATCATCATGGTCATTAAAATCATCAGTCCCGCTTGAATTGGCGAGATGTGGGACGGAAAGCAAAGCGATCTAAAAGTAAATGGCAATCAATCCGCGCCTTCCAGTATCTCCTCCCCATCATCTAGAGAGAGAACCCATTCTCGCCATTCCTGCCACTCCGCATAATCAGCGCTCGCCTTGAGGCCCTGATACCTGACAGTACGGAAATCCGAGACTTGGTCCCAAGGCTTAGTGGCACTGGAATTCCCACCAGCTGCACCGCGTAGCAGTCTGCGTGCAGTACTGCCACCACCATCCCAGCCTGCCTTGCGCATCAAGCTCTCCACTGTCTCTTCTTTGGTCCATCCCTGCTCGACAGCGACGTCAGGGAGATATGTAGCGCCATAACGACGACCGCGGTGGATGAAGGAGATCCGCAGCCCGTGAGTACCCAGAGACCAGTCCATGGCATTTGTACACGGCTCAAAGGACCCAAGGAGTGTGAGAGAGCATGATAGTGAAGGGAGGAGGGATTTGGGAATGGGTGCAAAACGGGTGTCGTCAAATGCCCTAAAGTAAATGTGTGAGTTAATCTGATATGTAGAAGGTAGGACTATACCACTGTTTGTATTGTATCGAGAGAGGGGTATTCAATAGGAACCACGTACGAGGTCAAAGCGTAGGACTTCAACCCCGCTGCTAGTTCCTGTGCCTCGAATGTGCCTATGCACCCGCGTAGAGACTTGTGTCCGCTTCGTGACAAGGTGTTCCATGTTACGAACAGGGGATATCGCTTATCAGACGATCTCGGGTGGGAGGTCTCGGAAACGACACTTGCCGTGGTGACATTGGTTGAGCTCGATTGTAGCGAGTTAGAAGAAAGTGTCGATGCGGATGATGAAGATGTGGCTGCACTGGAAGAGGCAGAAGTTTGGTTCTGAAGACGGCTGACGCTGCGGAGTTGCAGCTGCTTGGGCTGACTACTCGACTGGGGCGATTGGTTGCTATCGTCATCTTCGTCCTGCGCATTTACGGACTGTCGGTCTGTATCATCTTCTGCTTCTGTTTGTTCTTTAAGGCTTGACAGCTTCTTAGTCTGCTCGTGCTGTTCCCATAAGGCCTCTACGGCTGCCAGAGTGATGGGCTCGCGATTCTCGAACGAAGCCAGGAGAGACTCAAAACAAAAGTAGCATTGAGCGGTATTCGCCATGTTGGGGGACGATCTATCCTTTGATCACCAGTGTGTTCTCAAAGATGCACAGTACTGCTTCAGATTCGATCTTAGATTGGTGTATGCTGGAGGTGTGGTTCTCCGCAAGAGTCCGGGGCGATAAGAACTGCCTTATCGATGGGCCTAGAACCCCCGCTATATTTGAAGCAGGAGAGCGTCAAGCAGTGCAATAACGAGGACTTAAGGGCATATAGAAAATAAGAGGAAACAATGGGAGAGACCATAAAATAGAACGAGGGAAGAGTTATCCGTTCACGTGGACCGACGGCAGTCTACCGCCAGTGCGTCAGCTCGGATTCTGCCTGCAGTACACAACGAGATTCGTAGATAATATGAGCATTGCAAGTATGCATCTAATGTACTACCAAGGTATTCATGAACAATGACTCTTAGCTTACATGTGATCGTTTCCAAAGTCCTTAATCGTGGAGGTCTCCATTTACCTCCTTCGCCTCACTTGAGAGGACCCTAATTGAGGTCATTATCCCACTAACTCCCTACCTAGGTACAATTACCAAATCTGTCTGAATATTTCCAATAAGACGAATCGATGTCATCGGCGCTGTGATATTTAGAGTATCGTCTGTGGATTCCTCGTAGACTTGGGGGGATTAAGGTGCGTTGGATGCCCGCTGCAACAGTGTCATAAGCCTGTTATTGACCTGATGCAACAATGATTGAAGATTGCCCAGATGAGACTGAAGGCCGGAGTCCTATCTCGCGGGCTAATCTCTATCACATGATGTCATATACAAACTATCCCAATGAGGAAGTACAGCTTGATCTCCAAGCCTTTTTTGTTACCTTTCACTTCCATCTATTATTTTTTCTTTCTATGCTCCTCAATTTCAATATGGCAACCACTGTTCTCGAAGCACCAAGATACACACAGTTAAACGTCCGGGTTTACCAGCACAACGGCTCTCTTCTTGCCGGTAAGTAACGACCGCTTTGATAGAAGCCTGGGCGATAACTAATGCAGCCTCGTTCTAGCTCTGGAAGTCCCAATTGACCCCCGAGATAGATATGTTTCCGCTGAGATGCTATACCGATATTGTTCTTCCATATTCATCTTTCCTGACGAAAACGAGTGGGCCATTTTTAGATTGCGGGCAAACACCACTCCAGGCGCTACACTCCGACCTAGTGGTCGAAGCTTGGTAGATCCCGGAAACTACATGGTTCTGGAGAAAAGTAGGTTGGATATGTCTAGCATAATCCGGGCTCCCAATGCCGATGATTGTATAGATCAGAACCCCACCACCGTCGACTTGACAACTAACTGTGCGCCACGCCGTGTCACAACCCCTGACACCCATACCCAATCCCAGGGCCAGGGTGAACGGGACCATCTGGTAGACTCAACATCAAAATCATGAGAAGCATAAGGACGACATGGCTAATTATTTCTAATTTCTAAAGCAAGCCAAATTTCGCAACACCCTCCGCCAAAGAGACAATTGCTGTGTAATTACCGGGCAGACTAGGGCAACCACCTATGAACGACCTTTCCTCGGTCTCGATGCTACGCATATATTCCCTGTCAGCATGCTAAGTGAATGGAGAGCAGGTGGATATCGGCAATATATTACCGACACTCGCCCCGATAGCGAGATTGGAGAGTCTCGTCTCTATTCTGCCCAGAATGGGCTTCTCCTCAGCGCAGACATTCACGCTCAGTTTAATGATTTTCAACTAGGAATTGATCCTGACGTGAGAACCCACCCCCACCCCAATATTGATATGTGTTGGTTTCCGGAATGAATACTAACTGTTGTATACATAGTCTGATCACAAGATTATCGTATTCGGAGCGGACCCTGCAAAAATGGGCGGTACTCGTCTCAGAAGCTCTGCCCGAAACGGGATCGACGGCGTGTGTCCCGAGCTCCTTCGTTGGCACCTACGAATGTGCCTGTACAAAAGCCTGAAAGTCAATGCCGACCCACAGACAATATGGGAAGAAGATCTTGGGGAAAATCCTATGGGTAGCATTCTGGAGCAGCCAGACGCGGCTGAACGAATGGAAGTTGAGCTTTTCACGCGCCTGGGAAGTTTTGTAGCGTAATACGTTCAGACAAGCAGGCCATTGTTAGACTATTCGCTGTTAAAGTAGGAATTTTAACAAATGTTGAATCTCCACGGGGATGTTTCATTTTTAGAGATGAACCTCCACTGCTATTCACATCCATAGCCCCTGACTATACATATAAAAGTTGTCTGTTCCACTTCTCTGCCATCTGGCTATAAGACTGAGAAGGGGGTAAGATACCTAAAAATAAGGGCTATCAAAAAGACATGATTACGCCGCATAAGCGGCCGACTGTGCTTATTCCCGAAAAGAAAACGTAGACAAGCCAATGATGATGCACCGTGCCATATCACGCTAGCTATAGGGCCAAATCCAGGTTAAACTAGTCGGAAAATGCAACCCACAAGGAGGTATATGTGATGAAGTCTTAGATAGAATCGTATTTGGGCACATAGGCAAGAAGATAAGAAGAAAATAGTCCTTGGATTCTATAGATCCTTGTGTTGAGAATAGATTGTAGAATGTACATAGGACGCCCAATTAATGTTGAACTTTTCCCCTTTAATAAAAATGTGAGCTCGCTGTTGAATGAATGCGAGGCCCAACCGCCAAAAATCACAATTGCTCGTTTCACATGCAAAAAAGCATTCCCATATCCCAATGACCCGCGTCAGGTTGAAAAAGCAGTCCGGTAATTAACCCCTAAAAACGCACCCATGTATTTTTCTTTTGTTATACGAAATGATGTTGAACTCGTGGGATCTTGATTCAGATCCCTCTTTTATTTTTTCCGTAACTCATACTTGATCCTCAATAGCCCATTTAAACGGGGAGAGGGAAGGCGCTAGCCCACTGAGCAATCTCCTTGCGGAGAGCAAGGATCTCAGGAACGCTATCGTCAGAAACCTTGGCCTTGAAGTCCTTGAGCTTGTTGGCCTCCTTGGGAAGCTCACTCTGGATCTTCTTGGAGAGGGCAACGGACTGGTCAATGTAGCGGGCAATGCGCTTGAAGTCCTCGACACCCATACCACGGGAAGACATGGCGGGGGCACCAATGCGGATACCGCAAGGAGTGAGGGCCGACTTGTCACCAGGGATGGAGTTCTTGTTGCAGGCAATGTTGATCTGCTCCAGAACGGCCTCAACACGAGCACCATCAAGGCTGTGGGCACGGAGGTCAACGAGGACCATGTGGCTGTCGGTGCCGTCAGAGACGAGCTTGTGGCCAAGGGCCTTGAACTCCTCCTCGAGAGCCTTGGCGTTCTTGATGACCTGCTCCTGGTACTGCTTGAACTCAGGGGTGTCAACCTGCTTGAGAGCAACAGCGAGAGCAGTGATGGTGTGGTTGTGGGGACCACCCTGGTGACCAGGGAAAACGGAGAAGTTGATAGGGTTCTCCAGGTCGTAGAGGACATCCTTGCCGGCCTTATCGGTGCTGCGGACACCCTTGCGGAAGAAGATCATGGCGCCACGGGGACCACGGAGAGACTTGTGAGTGGTAGTGGTAACCACATCAGCGTACTCGAAGGGAGAGGGAATGACACCAGCGGCGATGAGGCCAGAAATGTGGGCCATATCGACAATGAGGTAGGCGCCGACCTTATCGGCAATCTCGCGCATGCGCTTGTAGTCGATCAGACGGCAGTAGGCAGAGGTACCGGCAACCAGGCACTTGGGACGGTACATCTCGGCGTTACGCTCGAGAGTATCATAGTCAATGATACCGGTCTCGAGGTTGACACGGTAAGGGAAAGTCTCGAAGTAGGTGGAAACGGCAGAGATCTTGCGCGAGGGGGTCTGGTAACCGTGGCTCAAGTGACCACCGTGGGGGAGATCCAAGCCCATCAAGCGGTCATGGGGACGCATGAGAGCCTGGTAGACCTGGAGGTTGGCAGGGCTGCCAGAAAGGCACTGGACGTTGACGCCCCACTTAGCGGGGTCCAGGTTGAACGCCTTGAGAGCACGCTGCTGGCAGGTGATCTCAATGGCGTCAATGTGCTGGTTGCCACCGTAGTAACGAGCACCGGGGTAACCCTCGGAGTACTTGTTACACATGGGGGAGCCAAGGGCATCGAAGACAGCACGGGAAGTGAAGTTCTCCGAGGCAATCAGAACGATTGACTCACGCTGACGCTGGATTTCCTTCTCCTATACGAGTAGAAGAATTAGCAAAGCTGAACTTTCAATTGGATATTACATTCAATTGTAGGTCTCAATGATGTATAATTTCGACTTACCATGATGGCAGCGATCTCCGGGTCGCTGGACACGAGGGAGTTGTGCATTTGCTGTAGATGAGTCAATAATCTATATGCTGTAAATGTGGGCCGATATGATACTCACGTCCCGGTGGGACTCGGAAAGAGCGTAAGACATGATGGAATATGGTAATCTGTCTGGGATAAAACAGAGAAGAGTTGATGAACAGGAAGGAAGGGAGGTGAAGAAGGAAAAAAGAAATGGAAGTGGTGGGGGAGGGGGATCTGCTATTTGCCTCAGGCCGCTGAATTTTAAGCCAACGATATCGGAGACAGCTGACCAAATTAACTTTTTAGGTTATAAAATTCTGTAACTTGGCAGAAATTGGACTGGGATTGGCTGAAAGTTTTAAAACGAGATATATCCAATGGAACTGGCTTCTTTTCAGTCCATTGAACGCTTCGAGAGCGACAAGAAAGATAGTATCAATTGCTATTTGCCACACCGCTCATGAGATGGCGCCTTTGCTGTTGTGAAATCGCTAAATAAACATCGGGGTATTTCCTTGAAAACGCCAAATAAATCTCAATCTGATAATCTTGCATCTATCTCAATTGAGAATTCCCAAGTGTCCAGTCTCATGTTTCATGCTTCCACGGTCCTCGTGTTGTCCTCACGTAGCATTCCTGCTCGGTCCCCAAAGTCAGAGATGACAGAGCGCAAACGTCTCACACGATCCTCCAACTCTGTAATCTCTCTTCGTTGGTCATCAACAGACCGATGCACATCTGGTAGCCCTTCGACGACCGTACGAGCCTTCTGGATTCGAATCCTGACAGAGCTGGTTTCGGTAGGGAGGGTTTTCACATCGAGCGACGGACGAGCGCTTGAATCGAGGACCGATACTCCTGCTACAGCATGGGAAGATGTATTGTTGCCATTGTGCCCACCATTAGGGATGATGGAAGGTGCTTGTTGGGCTTGTGCTTGGGAAGCTCCTGGGTCCCCTGTTGTATCTCCGGGTACGTCCGATGAACCAGGTTGCTGACCTTTGGAGAGTAAGCGGGAAAGAATCCCATGCAATGGTGGAATTATCTCAAAGGTCTGTGGTGGAGGGAAAGGTACTGTTTGCGGTGTTGGTGTGGACGCATCTTTAGAGGGTGTCTCGGGCATAGGGGATTTCAGGAGCGGGGTGCTCACTGGCGGAGATCGAGAGGCCATTGTCGGAAATTGGGATTAAGAGGATCCCGAGGAAAGATATCTGAAAGACGAGTAGATCCCGGCTGGGGTAAAGTTTTAGGGAAGAGTCGGAAGACATACCCCATAGACCTGCCTCCGGAGCCCGCAATACATGCTTACATCAGCAAATACGCTCCTGGCACCCGGTGACGTCGGGGCGAATGCCCCTCCTTCACCGGCGGCCTTTTTCTCTGCGTTAAGTGGTCTGATTCTCCTTTCGATATCTTTCCCTCTGAACAACTATCTAAAGGTAAGTTACTCTGTTTCTTAACTCTCTGTTGGTTCAGCAATTGACCAGTGTCCGTATAAATCTAGTGATTCAATCACTATAACGAACCCCACTATGGCTTCGGTCGACCAAAAAGTTGCTTTGAGTATGATTGACTACCACCCGGCTCCTCAAAAGGTATGCGAACTAATGTAAGCCTTATAGTTGTGATCGATGGCTGGGGTATTGCAGGCCCTAACTCCCCACCCCAGGGAGATGCCATCGCCGCGGCCGATACCCCACACATGTCCGGCTTCGCTGAGCCCAACTCTAAGACCGCCCAGGGCTTCACCGAGTTGGATGCCTCCTCGCTCGCTGTTGGTCTGCCCGAGGGTCTGATGGGCAACAGTGAGGTTGGTCACCTCAACATTGGTGCTGGCCGTGTTGTCTGGCAGGATAGTGTTCGCATTGACCAGACCCTTAAGAAGGGCGAGATGGGCAAGGTACCTAGTATTGTCAAGGCTTTTACCCGTGCAAAGGAGGGCAATGGACGTCTGCACCTTCTGGGTCTAGTCTCGGATGGTGGTGTCCACTCCAACATCACTCACTTGTTCGCCTTGCTCGATGTCGCCAAGGACATGCAGATTCCCGAGGTCTTCATTCACTTCTTCGCTGATGGACGTGATACCGACCCTAAGAGCTCTGTGAAATACATGCAGCAGCTGCTTGAACGAACCCAGGAGACCGGCACCGGCGTGATTGCCACTGTCGTTGGCCGCTACTACATCATGGACCGCGACAAGCGCTGGGAGCGTGTTGAGGTTGGCCTCAAGGGTCTGGTCACTGGCGAGGGCGAGGACAGCTCGGACCCGCTACAGACCATCCGGGAGCGCTACGAGAAGGGAGAGAACGATGAGTTCCTGAAGCCCATCATTGTTGGTGGCAAGGAGCGCCGTGTCCAGGGTACGTGTGGTTCGAGCCCAAAGGGCAAGGTCATGACAGCTAATTGAGCTTATACAGATGATGATACCCTCTTCTTCTTCAACTACCGCTCGGACCGTGTCCGTGAAATCACTCAGCTGCTGGGCGACCATGACCGTTCCCCGCGTCCCGACTTCCCCTACCCCAAGAACATCGACCTCACCACCATGACTCAGTACAAGACTGACTACAAATTTAATGTTGCTTTCCCTCCTCAACACATGGGTAACGTGTTGGCCGAATGGCTCGCCAAGAAGAACCTCCAGCAGTGCCACATTGCTGAGACTGAGAAGTACGCTCATGTCACTTTCTTCTTTAACGGTGGCATCGAGAAGGATTTCCCCGGCGAAGTACGCGATATGATCCCTTCGCCCCGAGTTGCTACCTACGACCTTGACCCAAAGATGAGTGCCGCTGCTGTCGGCTCCAAGGTGGCTGAGCGTCTTGGTGAGCACAAGTTCGACTTTGTCATGAACAACTTCGCCCCTCCCGACATGGTTGGCCACACTGGAGTGTACGAGGCCGCCATCCAGGGTGTTGCTGCCACTGACAAGGCCATTGGCGAGATTTATGAGGCTTGCAAGAAGAACAACTACATTCTGTTCATCACTGCCGATCACGGGTAAGTTGTTATACAAAATAGGAATACCTCCCATCAGGAGAATTGTTAGTTAACCCACATTCACAGAAACGCCGAGGAGATGCTCAACGAGAAGGGCACCCCCAAGACCTCCCACACCCTTAACAAGGTTCCTTTCGTCATGGCCAACGCCCCTGAGGGATGGAGCCTCAAGGAGGGTGGTGTGTTGGGTGACGTCGCGCCCACTGTTCTCGCTGCCATGGGTGTCGAGCAGCCTGAGGAGATGACTGGAACCAACCTGCTGGTCAAGTCCTAGATAATTTTCCCCATACATAAATGTTTGATCATGAATCAATGAATAGAATCTTGTCAATATACACATAATCTTCTTTTTGCTTACATAGTGTCGGAAGTCATTTATTCTTTGGCTTTTTTGGTTGTGCTTGTAAATGGCCCTGTCAAGTGCATTTATAGGCGTTCTTTTGGGCATACATCGAGTGGAGTTTTCGAGTCTTCTAGTCGGGTTTGTAACAAAAGACCGGACGCTTGCAGCAAGACCGGAGCAGTGAACTATATGTATATTGGTCTGTAGGCCTCATCATGGGACTACATGAATTGACTTCGGGTCAGTGGGATGATCGATCCTATTAAAGAATCCTCATATTGAAAGACAAATTAATCACTTTTGATAGCATTGTATTAAGATTTGGAGGGTATATCTTGAAGCTGATCTATGCGCTGTTCTGGTGTCGGGCACCTGCACAGATCATACATTTACAAGGTATCCCAAGTCAATTGGAATCTGGTTCTCAATGCCCAAGCATTCCTTGAGATGTCATGCCTCCAATATAGGGTTCATAATTGCATAGTGCATGTACTGAGTCACAGTGAACCGCTTGAGGGTTGGTCCCATCCGGCGCCAGCCTCGTAGCTCACGCCACATCTTGCATATCCGGGTGATATATCCTTCGCCTGCGAGTTCTTGGAGCTCTTGACTTATGCCGAAGCCGACGCAGCAGCAGCCTGCTGCTGAGCCTGGCTTTGCAGTTGGATAAGCTGGGTGAGGGGTTAGAATGTGCCTATGGTGGGGGATTGATTGCAGTTGGATGAGGGCGATTTACCTCTGAGCGCATCTTCTCGCTCTTTTCTTGTGTCGCATTAATCTCGCCTTCAATTCGCTTGCTGTAGATTCTCAGTCAGCATCTCTTTTCGTTGGTTCACAATGGTCAAGGTAGTGGCACTGACATCTCCTTCTCAATGAACTCTAACCGACTGTTCACGGCCATGGTCGCTTCGGTCTTATCCTGCTTCAACAGCACCGGGCCAACAAGCTTATAGATGTTGGAGTCATCGTCGAGCTGGGCGAACTCGCTCTGCACGCCTTCGTTCTCTTGTTGCTGCGATTCGAGTTTCTGGCGAGCGTCGACCAGAACATCAAGCTCTGGATGCGGAGAAAAAGTTAGTAGCTATTGCTGTCATCAATCGGATATATACCCATACCGGTCTGCAGTCCCTGGAACTCTTCCGAGAGTGCTTGGAGCTGTTTCTGGGCGTCCATGGTGAACTTGGAGGTGAAGTGGGAGGAGGGAAAATCAATGGCTCCCGCCCGTAAACAACTTCCACTCTCACTTTCCCCTCCAATTCCCATCAACCCTCGGTTCTAGACCTGTTTTGCACTTCTTGTTTTCTTCTACTCCAAAAAAGCTTCACGTCTTCTCTACTAGCAGGTCGCTATCTATCCCTCCAGCCGTGGCCCACTACCTGACCCTTGCTCCCCTCTCCCCGCTTTATCACATCTGCCTCCGCGGTCGACTCGTTACCTCTACCCCAGACACCATACGCATTTCCCATCATGAGCAATACAGACTTCTTGGGGCGGGCGATCGAGACGGTCAAGAAGGCGATCGAGAATGACAATGATGGCGAGTATGAAAAGGCTTATCAGATGTACTACTCCGCACTAGAGTTGTTCATGCTGGCTTTGAAATGGGAGAAGAACCCGAAATCGAAGGAGATGATCCGCTCAAAGGCTGGCGAGTATATGGATCGCGCGGAGAAGCTTAAGAATCATCTGGCGGAGGATAAAAAAAAACCAAGTGCGGTTGGCGCAAATGGAAAGGTGGCGCAAGGCAGTGGGAAGGGAGGGTATGTAATCGACTTCTTTTCAGAGTTCATATTCCTCGCACTCCCATTTCTGTGTTAGACAGTGTTCGCGAGTAGACTATTGACCTCAATTATCCCCGCTAACAACACTGGATCGTACAGGAAGGAAGATGACGATAACGGCGAAGATGCGGAAGCGAAAAAGCTTCGATCAGCGCTTCAGGGAGCTATTCTGTCGGACAAGCCGAACGTGAAATGGGAGGATGTTGCTGGCTTGGAGAACGCGAAGGAAGCATTGAAGGAAGCAGTCATTCTTCCCATCAAGTTTCCCCATTTGTTCACTGGCAAGCGCCAACCCTGGAAGGGTATCTTGCTCTACGGTCCTCCTGGTACGGGAAAATCTTATCTTGCCAAAGCCGTGGCAACAGAGGCAAATAGCACATTCTTCAGTGTCAGCAGTAGTGACCTGGTCTCGAAGTGGATGGGTGAGAGTGAAAGGTAAAGCAACATCTTTATATACGGGAGCTTCGCGAGTTGCGCACTAACTCGCTTCTAGACTTGTTAAGCAGTTGTTTAACATGGCTCGCGAGAATAAACCCGCGATTATCTTCATCGACGAGGTCGATGCGCTGTGTGGACCCCGTGGCGAAGGAGAGTCTGAGGCCTCACGGCGTATCAAAACCGAATTACTCGTACAGATGGACGGTGTCGGCAAAGACTCGAAGGGCGTTTTGATTCTGGGTGCAACCAATATCCCCTGGCAACTGGATGCAGCTATCCGGCGACGATTCCAGCGAAGAGTACACATCAGTCTTCCGGGCCTCAATGCACGAATTAAGATGTTCATGCTAGCCGTGGGCTCGACGCCATGCCAAATGACCCAGAACGACTATCGCCAATTGGCCGAGCTGAGCGAGGGCTACTCCGGTAGCGATATCAGTATTGCCGTGCAGGATGCACTAATGCAGCCCATCCGCAAGATTCAAGGTGCAACACATTATAAGAAGGTATGTGCACTCTGTTCTCACCCTTCCGGTTTACAGCGACTGACTTCACTCTGTTATAGGTACTCGTCGACGGCGCTGAGAAAGTCACGCCTTGCTCACCAGG